CAGATCGGTCGAGGTTCCACCCAGAGCTTGAGAAACTTGAGAGGTTCGGCTAAGGTCAAGCTCCTTGAGATGAGAAAAACCATCGAAAATGGGAATTTGTTCAAAATCAAACCCAAAAGAACCACAATCTTTGTTTATATATATATGATATTATATGATTATACAATATTATATTATAGTATATAGTTACCTTGTAATATACATGCACATATATAATTATATATGTATGTGTATGTATATTATATGTCCATGTCTATGTATATGTATATATATATACAATGCTCGGTCATTATTCAAATCTTCTGTGATTTACCATGCAATGAGCGCCGCTTCTTCACCAGGTTTCACCTAAAATCCAAGGCATTACATTCTATGGTCTTGGTAGAACATTGGTGGAACAATAGTAAACCATCTCGAACTTTGTCAAAAAGGGATGGTTTGTAAACCATCAAATATTTCGTGGTGGTAACTATTATTGGCCATCCCTCACCGCTATAAATCCAAGGTGGCGAGGAAATCCCCAGGTCCTACGAGGTGCTAATTACCTGCTGGGAAATCCACAGCCACATAGTGCGAAATATACCTCCAGACTCAAGTCATCTACTTTTAGGCTGATTTTTCTGGTGGATTTTCCGGCATTTTCCACCGTTGCCGGAGGGAAAACATCTGATTTTTCCACTGAAGAAACAACATGTTCCAGGCAACTTTCCAGCAGATCCCCGGCGGTGCAGCCAGGAATAAACCGAGAAGTGCAGGATTGGATCGAGGGAGGATTTTTCCAGGCCCCCCCCCGCCCCGGAATTCATCATGTTCATCGTAATTCATAGTAAAAACCCTTCAAAAGCATGACACTCAAAAGTAAATCCATGAGCAAGAATAACGACAATTCCAACCACATAAGCCATATCAAACCATATTAAGCCAATGAAAACACTCAGCGCCAGTGGTTTCCTTAAAGTTTCCCTTTGCGCGGCGATGCGGCCACCTCGTTGCTTCTCGCAGACTTGGCACACAAAGAGCCCACATAGCTGACCTGGTGTGGAGATACGAACGGTGCAATGTGTAAGTAATCAATATCTCCACATTCACTCATGCTTGATTACTATATTTGCTTATTTGATGAAATAAGCGCCTATTATTAAGACGTGATTATGATAGTAATGAGACAAAATGAAACTAACAATTAGTTTAAACAAAAAAACACGAATCTTAGTTGTTTAGCCATGGGATTTTCATGATATAATAATGATTTTTCAGATACGAACAGATCACTTTTTAACATGATTTCATCTTGGTTTAGTTCCCTCGATTCCACTGGATCCCTGGAAGGCTGCCATTAGTCGCTGTTGAAGCCGCCGTGGCTTTGGAACAGTGACAAGAATCCAAAATGATCCATACATACCATCCATTATCATTATTCATTGGTTAAGTCCATGATATTTCCCTCTGGTAAACATACAAAAAACTATGGAACATCAGTATGTTCAATGGGTAAATCAACGAACTAAATGGCCCTCCCAACCATAGTTTAATAGGGGATTTCCAGATATTTGGGACCATAGAATGGGGCTGATGAATATTATATAGGGCTATGGGTTTTGTCTTGGTTCAAAAAGGGTGCAGTTTTTTGGTTTTTGTTTTTGGATTTGTTTTTTGTTTTTCAGTCTGGGGCACTTTTCCTTGCTATTTGCTACATTCTGGCGCAAAAACCGGTACTTTGCTCAATTTTGGAGCTAAAATCTGCCATTTGCACTGTTCATCGATTTTCCCATGGTGTTCATTGATTTACCCAAAGTTTTCATCGATTTTTCCATAGGTTTCATTGAGTTTCCCATGGGTTCAATTGATTTTTCCATGGTGTCAATCGATTTTTCGGTGTATAACATGCACCTGGTGAACATGTAGAATATAGGTTGAAGCACAACCGTGTTGGGTCTAAATAGTGGCATTGGATGCTATCATAGTGTTGGTTGGTTTCGGATTTATTTAGGGTTGGTTTGGGGTTTGTTTAAGGTTTCTTTAGGGTTGGTTCAAGGTTTATTTAAGCTTTATTTAGGATTGGTTTAGGGTTTATGTAGGGTTATTTAGGGCTGTTTAGGGTTATTTAGGGTTCGTCCAGGCTCTATTTAAATTCTGTTGAGGGTTGGATTAAGGTACGTGTAGGGATAGAAGGTGTGGATATAAAGATAGATAGATGCATAGATAGATGGATGGATGGATGGATGGATAGATAGATAGATTGATTAGATAGATTAGATTGATTAGATAGATTAAAATAGATTAGATAGATTAGATTGATTAGATAGATAGATTGATTAGATAGATTAGATAGATTAGATAGATTAGATAGATTAGATAGATTAGATAGATTAGATAGATTAGATAGGTTAGATAGATTAGATAGATTAGATAGGTTAGATAGATTAGATAGGTTAGATAGATAAGATAGATAAGATTGATAAGATTGATGAGATGGATAAGATTGATGAGATAGATAAGATTAGATTAGATTCGATTAGATTAGATTTAGATGGTTAGATAGATAGATAAATAGTTCAGACAGTTTAGATAGTTTAGATAGGTTAGATAGATAGATAAGATTAGATTGGATTAGATAAAATAAGATTAGGTTAGGTTAGATTAGATAGATAGATAGATAGGTAAAGCATGGTAAAGCCACAATTGCCACACACCCACAAAAGCCACAAAAACCACAACAGCGCCACAAAACCATGCTGGAAAAAAACACCCAAAAAGTCATAGCCCCCCATTCAAAAATTAGCTCAACTCCACTGGGCCAACTGCAGCATTCCAAAATCTGCAGTGCATCTTTTCCCAAACCTACCAAGTTCAAGTAGGAAGTATACTGGCTAAAGGGTACCCTCCGGCAAATCGATTTTCTATAGTTTTAAGTAGCTATTGAATTTCGTGGGTTGAGGAACATGATCTGTAAATGGAGGATTTTCCAGTGAAAGAACATGTAACATATTACTGGAGGGTATGTATGAATTCATATGGAGGTTTCTTAGTCTGGGGGATTCCCAACACCGCTTCAAAAAACGAAAATGCTTTGGATGATTTGGGGCTACCCCCATGACTTAGGACCCCATCAAACACCTATAAAACCTGTAAAAATCCCATGAATTCACCATGGTTGTTGGACAAATCCCATGAACATCCACCATTTTGGGATATTTTTGGTACATCCGATCCAGAATCCAAGGATCCCGACAAACGCAAACGATGGAGCCCAGCTGTTCTCCACATGAGCTGCACTGTGCTTGCCCCGCCTGGGATCTAATCCAATATGGCTGGGAAATCGACCAAAAAGGCTGGTCATGGGCACCAGAAACATGGATACCCTCTGGTAATGACTAACAATAGCTATTGAAAATGGCCATAGAAATAGTGGATTTTCCCATTAAAAATGGTGATTTTCCATAGTTATGTTAAATTACCACAGGGTCAATCTGGCATGTTCCGTCGCCATGTTTGATTAGAGGGAACACATACTGGTTTCTCTTGGATTCTGGGACCGTTTCCAGCTAAAAAAAATATTGAAAAACGTCACATAGCACTTGATTCTCAACACCCCACCAGACAATATCCTGGAATGATCCGGCGAAGTCGTCTTTCTTGTGGGCAGCCCATGGTCATTATTAGGACAAGTTACCCACCACAGGCAGTAAAAATTGCATCTGGGTAGGAGTCCCCATCAAGCACAACAGAATTGATAGCCTCCAGTAAAATAAGAGTTTGCTATGGAAAAAATGGCCCATGTATGGATTATTTACATTTATTTACCTATGAATATGGTGTTTTTTTTCCATGGCTATGTGAGTTTACCGGAGGGTAACCAGAAAGCACTGTTCACTAGCCTACTGCAGAAAGCCTGCCAAGACATTATATGATATCCAATCTGTTCACCCAAAATTCTCAGTTGATGCTCCCAGCTGAAAGACAGCCGAAGTGCAACGCCAAAGCTATTGTTGAATTCCCGCAGAACCTTGAGAAAGCGGTGGCTGCAAGAATCAACAAGGCTGCACGACATAATTGCACATCTTCCCAGCAAAACATCAGGGCTGTCCAAAAGAAAAGACTGGCCGTGACTGACCCAAAGTGACTCAAACAAAACGTTTTTCCAGTTTTGCCAACAAAAAAAGGGGTTGTACTCTCAGTTTTGCCTTGATTTGGCGAAACTGAACGGCACCACGCCCAGCAACATGTTCCGAAGGCTTTTGAGCTGGCAAGGACAAGCTGCTTAAGGACCAGAGATCGCGGGCCGGTCCATCCTAGGCGTTGGCGGCTTCACTGTGGGATGATGTCTGTGGCTTAGCCTGCACGAATTCAACATGGCTAGCTGGAAAATTGCCGAACTCAATGAAGGTTTTAATGTGTTTTAATGGGAAAATATGGGAAAATCATCTATAACTGGAGAATGTTCAATTGCCACGTTTGATTTTCACAGGGTAGCAAGTATAATCACCACTTTAGTCCTATACTTTGGCACTATTATTTGGTACCCGCAATGAGCCTAAACTCACCATGATGTCACACTCAAATCCATTATAATATCATATTGGAGTCATATCCCCGTCCCATAAATTCCCTTCATGTCTTGATTGACTGTCCCAGTAGCACCATTTCTGAGCATCACTCTCCAGAGGATCCCGTGATTAAAAAACTCTGGGATCTCCATTTCTTTTGCACAAATTCTCAGCTTGTTTAGTTGCGGCTGGAGTTCCACTTGAAGTGGGTCTCTAATGCTGGTGGGATATGGCCATAAGTTGTGCTATCTCTCAAGTTCTGGGGGCTTATAACATCACCACCCTTTAAGGCCACTTTTCAGGGGGGGAGCATACCAAAATGTAAGATACATTTTTTGGGACCCCCCCCTTAAATGTAAATTTTGTCACTGAACGTTCCCCAGGTATCGTTTTTGTGGGGAGGGTCGTCAAAATACCTTCAAAATGTAAGCTTACATTTTCAAGGCACCCCTCAAAAACACCTTGAAAGGTGTAGCTTACATTTTGGGTACGTCCCCTTTAAAAGGGTGCTGATCTTATAACCATGGTTTAAAAACACTCTGTACTGAGTCCCAAGCAAGATGGAAAAACCCTGAGGTTTTCTCATGGATTTCCAGGCTCCCAACCTTTCTATCTACTTGGAGTTTGCGAATGTGTGTACCCCCCAAAAAGTTGAACAGTTCTGAAAACATCCGACCAAAATAGTGATATGCATCGTTTACGTTCGAACCTTCAATGATACTTTTCTGCATCTTTTTGGAACCTGAACTAGATTCAGCTCCACAAAATATGAGGTGCACATGTTTTTTCCTACCAAAATATCACGTTTCTCTCAGGTTTCTCAAAATGAGGGATCGGTGACCTGGGTGACCATGGCTTGAAAGCCATGGCTTTGCCACGAAGTCATCGAATGACTTCCGGATCTTTGGGGTCCCATGAATTTGTCCCATCCTTTTCCCATTTGGGGTCAAGACGTATTGGACCTAATTGCTCTCAAAAAATTGGGGGGATAACCATCTACCAGCTATTTGTGGCTCACCAGTGCAAAGTTTTGACTCATAACATCCCATAAACATCTGGTTGGTGGTTTCAACCCCTCTGAAAAATCATGGACTTCGTCACTTAGGATTATGATTCATTCCCAACTGAATAGAAAAATAAAAAATCCATGGTTCCAAACCACCAACCAGCCATTTGTTTAGGACTTCCCAATTTTTCCCATCGATTCCCCCCACCCATCCCCACCCGCCATCCCCCCGGGATCACCCACGATGAACTCTTCAATCCCCGGCAAGGCCCGTCGCAGCAGCGACACGCCCGTCAACGCCTCGGGTGCCTCGTGCGGAGGCGATGTGTGACAGATCTGGGAAAAATCCATGGAACAATCTAGGAAAACCCTGGAAAACTCTGGAAAAATTGTGGGAAAACTCTGGAAATTTTATCGGAAACTCTGGGAACAACATTGAACAAATCTGGGAACAGTCTGGAAACATGAGGAAGAGCTACAGCGTAAACTTTTGCTATAAATCATTGTCATTTGAAACATGTCAGCAACAATAGTGGGTGTGTTGCGTATGTAAGTAGACTGCTTGTATGCAAACTTTGTCTTTTAACTTGCAGTTTGGACCGTACGAATTTGGTGTGGCTTACTGCATGGAATACCTATAATGTACATCCAACATTTAGTCCTTTTACAGTACATTTTAAAAAGACACAGGGCATCCCCATATTTAGCAGGTAAATGTCTGCCTTCCTGCAGATTTGGGGGTTTCCTAAAAGGGGGCATACCCAAATCATCGACTCATCGACCATGTTGGTATTGAAATCCGGGGATCCTTCATGTTGAGAACCCCCCTATGCCGACCTGCACGGGATACGGGAAACGGCAGTGAGGACACTTCCACCACCAGGTCATAAAGTCGGGTTCCTGGAGGCGAAACGGGGTCCCTCGCCACCAAAACCATCGTCCATAAGGGCGGGTAACCGTGGAGATGGCCCAGAAACACATGACTTCCAATCCGGAAAAAAACACAAAGACTTTTTGACAATGGATTCCATGGTCCCGCGGGTAACCAGGGCTTTACCATGCTTTACCGAAAGCATTTGCCTCTTGTTTCCCCAGGAAATGCTTTCTGAATCGAATGTCAAACTTTCATATATGTATTGAGAAGGCCCCGAGCCTTTCTTTTTCGGATGTCTCAGGTATAATCTTGTAAGGTTTTCAAACCTAATCAAAATCGACACGAAATGACACGCATTGGTGGTGTCCCAAAAGCACCCGGCACGTTTCTAAGGGGTGCTTTATAGCCCCCTCCCCCCCCCATACTGACCGACACGACACGCCAATAACATGCATTGACAACTTGAAGATTTGAAGAATCATCTCCATCGCCTTCCGAAAAAAGACTCCTTTTTTTTGCTTGGAAAAATGTCACAGAAGCAAACGTGGTGAAATCAGTTAAACCTGTACGGATACCTCATTATTTGTTCAAAAACTGAAAATTAAAGGTGGTTTATACTTCCCCCCTACAGGGGCGCTTACAGACACCCGTTAGCACATGCTCGATGAGAAAAAATATACATATATACGTGTGTATCTAATTACGGTGTTTTACCTCATAATCTTTATATTTTTCCCATTTAGGGGGGTACTGAGACTGAGAGGTCTAGGAAAGTTATATATATATAATAATAGATAGATATAATATACATATATATCATATATGTATAATATATATATATACTGTAACCATCTGTCTCCACAAACTTATGGATCAGTCTTAATATTCATGGATGTCCCTCTGGACACCCTCAGAGTTCATCTAGCAATCGTCCAGCAATGGATTCGCAAAGGTGACCCTTCGCCGTTTTTCGTCCAGAAATAGTTCAATGATCATTCAATCCCATAGGATCCATGGTGCTGCTATATATGGTGCTCCATGGATCCCATCAATATACCCCCTTTATTGTTAGCATATATACCAGCACCATGGATCCTATGGGAATGATCTACCCATGATTTTCATGTTGTTCCTGATTCATTGATTCAAGGACACCTCATGGCCCTTGTTACATCTTGTTTTGCCTTGTTCTTTTTTATGATTTTTGCAGGAATTACCCAAGAAATGGCGATGTTCCAGCTATTTACCCACCCAAATCATGCTCCCCCAACGAGTCGTCCATGGAACTTCCCGCATCCCATGAGCCCGCCTCTTCGAGGTGCTCCTGATGTCACCGTGCTCGAGACTGGCTCCATCCAAAACTCTCATCTTATGGGAAAATCACCATGTTCAATGCCTAAATCCACGAACTAAATCACCATAAATCACCATAAATCACCATTTTCAATGGCAAACAACGTTAGTCATTACCAGATTCTAATCTGATGGAAAAAAAACAAAAAAAACGCCACGTTCATCCCTCTCCAGTCCGGCCAGGTGAAGGTGAGCTTCATCATCTTCTGCAAGCCTTGCAGCAGGGCCTCTTTGGACCTCGTCGCCTTGCAGAGCGCCGTGCTTTTGGGCGCCACCTGGGGCGCAGGCGCCCAAGTTGGGCCGCCGCGCTGAGGCTTTGGTGGAGGTGAAACATCCGAATCTTGGGGAAGCTGTAGCAAACGCTGGCAAACTACAGCCGATTTGATCCAATTTGTGCTTCGGGGATGTTCTACTACAGTACAGGTTGCTGTTTAAAATGTCTGAAGCACTTGTTGGTGTTATTCATGCAAGTTCTGAAATGAAGAAAACAATCACAAACTTGAAAAGTGATTGTGGAGTGGTTCCCTTTGCTGGCAAGTTTGATCGGGTTTGTTCTACTGCGGAAATCTTGAGAAGCCGGCTGACTTTACAAAATTTATGTCCAGAGTCACAGCCAATCTTAGATAATTACCCTGTTGGCTTGGTTAGGTGTCTATATCCCCATTTCAGAAAATGAAGGCATCAACGTCGACTAAAGGTAATTTTAGTACCAAAGATTGACCCAGGAAGGTCATTCACCAACATATACTACCAAGATACTAAAATACTATCTCGGAGACTAAAATACACTACCAATTTTATATGCGACTGCCAAGATGACTACCAAAGAATCATCTTGGATCACTAGAAAGATCCAACGCCGGCCACGGTGCTGCCAAAAGACCAGTTGCATCCCCCTTGGCAGTCGCACGCCTGCCACAGTGACCTGGGTGACGTTTGGAAATGGCGCATCCGCTTTTAGCGATGTCATATGACACTCATTTTAGAATACATGTATATAATTGTGTATAATATGGATGTGGGTCAAAACCCAAATATAGTAGAAATAGGTTTTGACCCATCCCTGTACATATAATTATATATATACTAACTAATATATATATAGCATATTTATGACATATTATAACTAGTCCAAGGACACCTGTATGGGAAATCCCCACAACTGCCGATGAGTCAGAGAAATATGCCATCTTACATATCCACTACGCATCTTAGTTCTATCCACATTGACTGCCCATTTGGTAAACTTGATTTTGGGTGACCACATTCCTCAATGAAAATGGCTCACAATCAACCCAGCCACCACGATTTACCAGATGTCCTCCTGGTCCAATTTGGGGTCCAGGCGCTGCACTCCAAAATCAGATCCGGGAGGGACAGCGCGTTACAAATGGGCATGCAAAGGTCTGGTCTATGCTGAACCACCACCTGCCAGGGCGCTTGGAGAAGAATGACAGTTGGTGTGGCCACAGAATCACCAGCAAATGCAAATAACATCATGTCAACTGCATAGATTCTGAGGGCAGCGAAAATTGTGTGCCCTTTCAGTCTGATTTTCAATGATGCTTCTGGAAAGCAGGCCCTCAAAAAGCTATCATCTTGGATTGCCCAGCAATCCAATGGCAGCAGCAGAAACCGCTCTCCATTGCCACATTTTCGCCCCACGCCTGCATCCTTTCTTTTCCACGAGATTTGAGAGCCTCCAGGGACTGGGAAGCACCGGCTTTGGATTTCCGTGAGGAGGGGCTGAAGTTCACGAGCATCTTGGACAAAGTCTCATCGTCCTTCTGCGCTTCCACAATGGCCGGATCAGGTGGTGGTGGCCGTGGCGGCGGTGGCGCGGGCATCGTTGGAGGCACCGGCGCTGGAGGCGCCGGCACGGCCGCCACCACCGGGATAGCTGGCACGGCGAGTGGGGCTGTTGGGGCTGTGGGCGCTGGCACCGGCAGTGCTGGTGCCACTGGTAGTGCGGGTGCCACCTGCACTGCAGGGACGGCGGGGACAGCAGGGACAGGGATGGTCGGTGCAGTGGGTGCTGTGGCCAATGGTGGTGTGGGCGCCTGAGCTACTAACGTGGGTGCTCGGCGGACAGTTGGCGCTGTTGGCGCCGCTGGTGCTGCTGGTGCTGCAGGTGCAGTGGGTGTTGTATGGGCTGGTGGCAGTGGCACAGCAGGCACGGTGGCCACAGGGGCGGGTCGCTGAGGTGCGGGTGGTGCCAGTGTGACATTTCGTGGTCTTGGTGGTGTGGGGGATCTTTTGATGCTGGGCCTTGGTGGTGTCGGCGATCTTTGGACACTTCTTGGGGGTGTGGGGGATCGGGTAGGCCTTGGAGGAGTGGGGGTTCTTTGCACGCGGCGTGGGGGTGTTGGTGCCCGTGCAACCCGCTGTGGCTCGAAATCATCCGAGTAGTCGCTGTCGCCATCAGCACGAGGTCGACTGATGGATGGGGAGAGAAGACTGTGCTGCAGTCCGCTCTCAAACAGCTGGGCCGTGGCAGCAAATGACATAGTGGCCTAGCAGGAGCAATCTGAGAGTTGCCTACCGTGGTTTTTATGCGGGTCTCATCCCAGTTACTCAGCTACAACTCAGGTCTGCAGGATTCGGTCTGAACAAACGTAGCAGAGAGATTTGGACACCTAGATCCTTTCCCTGAAAACTCAAACAGACTCACATGGGACTCAAGCTGCGTTAAATTGTCCGATCCTGCCCAGAAAAAAGATTTGCAAGTTCTAAGTTGATGACATTTCTCTTAAAGTTCACAATAAAATACTCTGAAACACATTTTTTCATATTCAAAGATCTTTTGGCAAAATTTTAAGATAAATTGAACTTAAATATAGTAAATTAGTAGGTTAAACCATCCACATAAATGACAGATTTTATTCATAAACCATCCCCATCTGTTTCCCCATCTGTTTTCCGCTGCCTCAGAACTCCTTGGGCTCAGGTCTAAACTCCCTGCGAGGCGAAGTGCTAGGATTTTTTGGGGTCCAAGTTATAGACCCCAATGGTACCCAGAAACATGGTGGTTTTTACCAGCATAAATTTTAGTACTTCATGTGGGTATGGATCAATACCTATTGATACCATTTTTAGGGGGATGAACATCCATAAATCCCAGCTATTTTGATGTGAACTACAGGGGTACAAGGTTTTGACACACTGCCATGGACTTCTACCATTTTGTTGGGGGTATCTGGAGGGCCTACTAGGTATAAGCTTCTTCAAAGTGAACCTTTTGAGGTGGTTAAGTGACCCTTTTTGGGGTTCAGTGACCTCAAATTGGTGGTTGAAAAGGTCACTTTGAAGAACCAGGTATATGGTGCCATATGGTTGGTGGTTATATAATGATAAAAAACCCATATGGTTATATAATGGTTATGTCTATACATGGTTGTATTTGAATATATGGTTGTATTGGGTCGTATAAACCCCATACGGTTATAATGGATATACATGGATACGAGTAATATTATATATATATACGTAGTATTGCTATCTACAAAATATCTATAAAATATCTAAAAAATATCTATAAAATATCTATAATATGGTTGTATAATATCAACATATATGTGGCATTTTATAAAAATGGTGTCGCACATTCTGATGAACATGTCCTGTCTATAGCATCCTATCTTGCTTTTTGTTGGAATTGATATGGTTCATTCCATTTGAAATATGAAAGGGTTCTTCCAGGGAGAGTGAACGACGGAAGGCCAGAATGCTTGCACCTGTGTGGTTGAAGACTGGCTGTAGGTCTGGGACATGGATCAAGTCTACTTTAAGTAGCGTTGGGCTTTTGAATGTTCTGGAGCTGATTCTTACTGATCAATCTTTGAAGTATCGAAATTAAAAAAAAAGAACTTCCATTTTGATTCATTCAAACAACCCAAACAATGATGAATCGGCAATTTTTTCTGACTTGATACTACTCGACGCACTAACTTCTTGGGGCTCCACACGAAATTCAGAATCAATCCGTGCTCCATTCTTTTTAGAATTGGCGTATTCACCAGGATTTCATATGATGTTTCCTGAAATAGGGATACCCCTAAATCATCCATTTTAGATTGGGATTTTCCATGAAATAAACCATCCAGCGATAAAGGGGTACCCCCATGACTATGGAACCCCCCATATCTACGCTAAGTTGGATGATTGGATGATTGGACTGGTACTTTTTTCTTATGAACCAGCCAATTTTCTAGTTACAATTCCCAATCGATCATGGTTGTTACAGCTTTGGACCAACCTGTAGGTACCCATGTATTGATCAAGCTCAAAAAAGAATCTCAAAAATAAAGATTCAAGTCAACAAATTGATAGTTACTCAATTAACCTATATTATTCATTGATCATAATTCAAGATGATTGATCATAATTTAACAAATTATAGCTATTGATCATATTCAATCATATTTCTGGGTAAATGATGATATGTCACTAACCTGAAAAATCAGGCCTTCCTCCGGGAGGATTCCCCGCAATCGACAAAAATGATTCCAGGGCTCGTTCACCACGTGAGATCGTTATCATTTATCCAGGTATTTGCCTGGTGGTTCATCCCACTTAGTAAGTGGCTTAGTTATCACCCCACTTAATATAAATTAAGTGGTATTAAAGTAGGCTTAATCCACTCAAAAAACTGTTTTTTGTTACCCACTTACACTTACGATCCGTGGATAGCTCACCACCAAGTATCAAAACCATTATATACTGTTAGATGCTATTAGTAATTAAATATGTCCATTAAACATACATGATTATCAAGTACAATATATCCCATTAACTCTAGTATTACTAGGTATTACATATCCCATAGGATCCATGTATGCTATATATGTTAACATTTACCATCAATATACCCCCAATGTTAGCATACATACCAGCACCATGGATCCTATGGGTATGAGATGATGAATCTGTCCTACAACAACCACCGCGGCACCTGAGGACGAGAGTAGCCTTCTTGGCCCAGCGCCCAAGGAGAGTTTGCGCGCGCGGCTGTCGTCCGGCGGTCTGAGAGCAACGACGAAAACATGGAGATCTTGGAGATCTTGGGAAGTTTTTTCAACATCAAACATGGGGATTTCATGAAACAATAGCCCAGATGCTCCATGGTGCTGGAATATTTACCAACATTTACCCTCACAATCACCCAAATGTAGGTAAATATACCATACATAATACATGGAGCATATGGGTGGGGATTCAACCATGAAACAAGTGGGATAGATTCGGATAGATGTGCAAAATCCATGTTTTTCATCATGAAAAACATCTTTGAGAATCTCAATCTTTAGCGAACATCAATGAAACAAAAAGCTGAGTTCAACGGTTTCACCACTAAACCTCGATCTTTCCAGAAGGGTGCGTGTTCTTGGGTGGAAAAAAACCATAGCTGGTTGGTGGTTTCAACATATGAGTTCGTCAGTTGGGATTATGACATTCCCAATATATGGAAAGTCATAAAATTCCATGGTTCCAGTCACCACAAACCAGATAGATAACCATAGCCATTCTGAATGTGATGTCATCGACCATCCAATTCCAATCATTTTCATGTGGCTCCCTGGCAATCTTTTTTGCGATGACACTGGAAAATCCAAGTTTGGGAATACGTAAAGTATGGTAAAATCATCTAAAACTCTCAAATTCTAGCCAGCCATCTCTGATTTTGCCAGAGGGCCCAACACAATTCACAGAAATCGCACTGAAGCCTTTCAGAAATGTCCCAAGACCGGCGGAAGTGTGATCAATTAAACAACTCACAATGTTTCCAAGCATTCCATCAAACAGCTACTTGGTGGCTAATCCCACTTAGTTTTTGTGGCTTAGTTCACCCCACTTATACATGCTATTAAAGTAGGGTGAATCTACTCAAAAAGCTGTGATTAGAACCCACTTACGATCCGTGGGTAGTTAAGGGTCAAAACCTGCTAAACTTCCTATCCAAAGGGCCTCGAAGATTGCCTGGTTCTCGAGGATTCGCGTGCATCAACGGATCCACCATTGCGACCTCTATCCTGGTAGCGATGCAGCCCACCGGTGCAGCCCAAGAGATGTCTTTTTGGGGGCTGAGAATTCCATGACTATGAGTCAAATTGCCCTGGCACTGGCACCCTTTTTCGGTACCTCAAAATAACTGGGTAATGGATGTGCACTCACCAAAATTTGGCGATAGTAGGTTTTGACCGATCTTTCGGGTGGAATTGGATCCTTTGCCAGACATTTGGGCCCCTTGTGTGCTCAAGTTGAATCCCCGAAGTTTGATGGCTAAATCATCATTTTCTATGGCAAAATCCCCATTTGATGGTTTCTCAAATGTGAAATCGGTGCAATCCCCATGAAAACGGCCCATCTTTGCTGGTAAAATAATCCCTATGGAAAGCTCAAAAAATTCACCGCGTCTTCAGGTCGGTCACATCCTCGTCTTCAAAGCGCGCGCGTCGCGTGGGCGACGGACTGGGCGCACTGGGAGGCGCTCGAGGTGAAACCCTGAGCAGCTGATAGGATGAAAATCATGATTTTATCATCCGGAGGGAGACCTTAAAGCCATGATCCAAATCATGTCCATTGGATGAAAAATCTGAAAACCGGAAACCATGGACGTTTTGGGACGTGATTTTGTTTATCATTCACCATTTCGATGGAAAAATCTTCACCACTAAGTGATGAATGGAACCATATGAGAACCATGGCTATTACAGCTATTTCTATGGGATTTCATATGATTTCATGGTCATTTCTGATCATTCTTTTCATAGCATCAGCAGCCTGGTAGTTTTTCAGTCTTGCTACGATGAAATATCTCAATTTATGGCAAGACTTTGACGTATTCGAGTTAAAGTACAGCCAAAAATTATGTCACCGTAGTCAAACTTGGCAATGGAAATTCCACCACTGTCAGTGGAAAAGTTTCCAGCTATAACTACTATAACCCTCCATTTAGTCTAGGAATGTTTGGAGATGTTCCAGCTTGCCATGTTTACACCAAAGGGATCCAAAGGGTCTATTGAAGCCCCCAGGAATCTATGCCAGACATGAAACGGTCCAGGCCGGGAAAAAGCTCCAGTTCATCGAGGATATTGAGATTTCTAACGACAAAAACCATATCCTAAAGTCATAGTGCACAGCCGAACATGACAGCCACTGATATTCTCCGGTTTTTCTGTGAGCTTTAAAGCACGACACTTTTTTGGATACTAATATCTATATCACTTTTTTGGCCAGAGTACTATCAACTCAAAAAATGGGATGCACGGGATGAAGGTCATCATGGTCATCTGAATTCTATGCTCCAATGATTGGATGATCCTTATAGGTCCCTCCGGTCATTTCAAAAATGCCATGGACCTGACATGCACCCTGACCCTCCATTGCAGAGGATCATGGAAAAACTTCTAAGTTTTGATGGTCTATCATAGTCTATCATAGTCTAACCATCCTGTTACCCCTTGAGATCTTCGGCAGCTACGTTCCAGATTTTCATCAGAGATAGAAAAAAGAATGCTATTTTAGAGCTCTCTAAAGCCAGCAACAGTCAGCAAAGTCCATTGCCAAGTCAGCCAAGCCCCGGTGCGTTCAAGGGATACTAGCGTCCCGAAAGGAACCACACACATTGGTGGAAATCCTGTTTTCAGCCCCATTCTATGGTCTCAAATCTCAAATATGTGGAAATCCCCGACAAACAACCACGGTCTCTGATGGTATTTAGTATTTACGGGGGGATGCGACTAGTGTATCAAACCTTTGATTTTTGTTGCGCAGTCAGACCAGTTTTCACCCAGACCCCACATCCCCAGCAGAGCTTTGGACAGGTCGCATTGAATTATGAAGCCATGGCTCTTCAGCGGTGCAGGATAGGATCACCCATATTCACAAAGGTTCCAGCTGGGCTCTGTTGAAGCTTGAAGTCACGATTGAATGAATCCACCTGAAGTGATTCTGCTTGGAAGTCTTGATTAAGCCGCTTTCTCCGTTGAGGCTGTGAGGTTCCAGTGGCAAAAAGCAGGATGAAATTTCGCCGTGCCAGTTTGCCACTCTCCTGATCCTCCACACTGGTTCTACATCCGAGCCAAAGCGGCTATGAAAACCGTTTTGCCATGCTTGATGTAAGTGGGATTCCGCTCCAAAACGAGATCAATTCTGGTGAGCTGGCGGGAACTTCCATGTCGTTGGGATTGGTGACAAGATCACTAGCCCTGGATGGCAAATGGTGCTGAGATGTGCTAAGTCCTAATACATTCTCGACCCCGAATCATCCAATATTATCCAATCACAAACACAGATCACATCAGATCACTATTGCGGCGCCATCCATTGCCAAAGTTTTTCCCAAAATGGCAGCTACCATTTTTGCAACCAGTGCGGCCAGCTGCGTTTCGCATCTGACAACAGGTAGTAATCCTGTGAGGCCGACACCTGATTTCTGGCTTCGGGCTCAAGAACCCATGTTTGCCACAACGCGACGCCAAAGAATTTGAAGAAAACACTCAGAAACGGTCAGAAAATTGGTGTATCACCAGAAACACTTCAAAACAACCAAAAAACAAACAAACAAACATCAAAAGGATCCCAACTCAGACAGTGTTTTTTTCGCCGGTGATGAGGCCATTTTTTTCCTCCTGACGCGTAGCTAACAACAGAGAAGGGCAGGTTCACTGCTGGGCTGAACTTGCGTAGCTAGAAAAACTTCATGGACAAAGACAACTGAAACGCTTCAAGTTTCAAGCCTGGTTCCAAAGGTGTCCACTATGGGAAGATCTTTCAAACCACGGATTTGGGTATTTCATGACCATGGGGCCAGTGATCAAAACCACAGTGATTGCTGCCTCACCACAGGGACTTCTTGGGGAGATAAAAGAGATATAGATGATGCTTTCCCTCCAAAGGTCTTGACAAACAACCTACCCTAGGTATAACATTTACAAAAAGATGGTAGAAAACCGATGGTTTCTCGTTTGGAAAATAGTCTACAAATGGTTGATATTCCAGATGTTTGTTTTGTTTTTTTAAGATTTGCTTGTTTCAGGTCGCAAACTAACACACCATCACTGATTCCACATAGCTGGATAAACCAGCATGGAAATACAAAGAGCTAAATCCGTAGATCATCTTCCCTGATGTCATCAAATGGAGTGTTCAATTCCCCACTGGATAAACTTTGGATTTTTGGGTCATATTCCCATCCCCTCCCGCAGGGAGGGGTTTTTCACAACAGGGGGTGTATCCAATAGGGATGAAGTCCGCGATACCAAGCCCATCCCATATGGGATAGAAAAAAGGATCCCACTTCTTGAAATCCACCCTGAAAAAGTGGCTTTCTCTGATTTTTTTTTAAACGCTATGTTTCAAGATATCATTAGATTTTTAAATTGTGAATGAAAATCATTGTTTAAAATCAGGTTTCCAATGATTATCAGGTGATCATCATTTTTCTCATTCACACTTGTAATTTTAGCGCTGTGCAACCTATTCCTGGAGACACCCTTAGATATCATATTAGTCATACAGTAATGTTGCTTATATATCCACATAATATCTCTATCATGTTTGGTTAATTCCCAATTTCTTGTTGCTCAAATCCACAATCTGTTATGGACTAGTGTTGGTTGTATACAGATTGTGAACATATCCCGTTGTGTCGTTCTGCTATTCCAAAAAAATACTTGGTTTGATCCCATGATGCTTGGTTGATTCCCCATCGACAAGAATTTGTTAAGAGGGATTTTGAAAGAATATGATCATGGGATAAATCCCATGATACCCTCTGGTAATTTAACAGAGCGGAAAATTGCCGTTGTTAAGAACAATATTTCACATCGAATTAAATGGGCCATCGTAACTTAAATCGTTACGCAACTTAAATTTCCAGAGGGTAAATGATCATAATTATGTAGTTGACTCACCGTGAATTTATGGTTTACTAAGTTTACTATTTATAACACCCGTTTCTGGTCAAATTATGGATGGTTTACTATTGCTTGACCAGCATGAAAATCCAATGATACTTCCCCCAATCCCATCATCATTGGTTGTTCCTCAAATAAACCATGTCAACTTTTTGTTAATGGGCTCAAACCTGTGTTTAAAATATAAAACACGCCATTAATCCATCATAATCTTGGTAAATCTCCAGTGGTCAATTGGTTCACTGTCATGGTTAAATGGTGTACCATTCACCATCAGCGATTCCACGTATCTGCTGCATTAACCAGCTTGGACATTGAAATATCTACCAGAACCAAGTTTTTCTTCATCAAAAAAATCCCCTAGGTCATTCACCAAGGATTTTAAAGATTCAAAATTACCACATATTTCCCTCTGGTTATTTAACATAGCCATGGAAAATGGCCCATTTATAGATGGTTTACCTATTAAAAATGGTGATTTTCCATGGCTATGTTAAATAACCACATGTTACCACTATTCAACCACATCAAAATCCCGCCCCCTGAGCCCGCCGCCTGGTGCTCGTCAACGTTGGTCGACTCCTTGGCGCATTCAAAAACGGAAGCGCCCAGGAGGACCATGGCTGCACCCGCCTGAGAGCGAAACAAAGAACTTGGGATGGTGGATTTATGTGATTTATGTGATTTGATGAATCTTATTGATGAAAATGGGGATGAAATTCATCAACATCGGATAAACACATATTAAAAACATCATGGATTTAAGCTTAACCATCAACAAAAACGGATTTGAGAAAAAAAAAATCGGGAGATTTTTGCATCAGCAATGGGGATTCAACCATCAATGGAGGAAAGTCGGCAGTAATTCTTAGCGATTTTCCATGATAACTATGACAAATGGCCATGAGAAATGAGGATTCACTATGATAATAGGTTGGTGGTTGAGTCCTACCATATATATGATCCCGGTCCCCGGTCCCGTAGCCCCCCCCCAAGGGTATGGCCCCCTACTCCCTGACCTAGAATCTTTCATTTCCAAGGTATTTTCAGCATTTTGGATGCAAAACCTCATATTTGCTTGGTATTTGCACCAGTTTGGATGGAGAACATCCTATTTCCATGGTATGTACAACATCTTCGATGCAAAACCTACTTATATAGGAACTAAAGGGTATAGTTATATTACCTTTTTATACATATACACAAATTTATATATATATATATACATATACATATATGCATATATGCATATATACATATATACATACATACATATTTACATATGTATACATATACACATATACATATATACATATATACATATATACATATATACATATATACATATATACATATATACATTTGTACATTTGTACATATATACATATTTACATATATACATACATATATACATATGTATACATATACACATATACACACATATATATATATATACATATGCAAATATACCTATATACATATATACATATATACATTTGTACATATATATTATATATACTATATATACTATATTGTGAACTTCCGACAAGCCTTCCAACGGACCCCACCGGCCCGCAAGCGCTTTTGTTCACGTCGGTCGAGGCGTCAGCTATGTCTGAGCCAAAAGCTTGGCCCTTCAGCCACAAGCCTTGGCCCTTGAGCCAAAAACGTCAAAGAGGTCACCTTGAACGTGCATCTGCAAAGCTAGCCTCGCCGCCACTATGGCCAGTGGCTCGGCGCTTTCCGCCGCTCGAGCTCTGTCACTCCCATTGCCACCTTCCACACTGAACATCTCATGGCGGCTCTGTGCATCATCTTCTTCAAGATCCTCTGCCTCTTCTTCTTTTTCTTCTTCCTCTTCATGATCGTCCTCCCATTCTTCTCCATACAAGGATCGCATCACTATCCTCCACAGCTCTGCTTCTTCAGCTGTGGTAGTTGTGGCAGGATCTCCATGCCTCCTCCTGCTCGGCCGCATCCCTTCATGGGCGCGCCAAGCGTTCCAAGCATGGTACCCGAGCCTTCCCAGCCTCGGCACCACACCCACTTCTATGGTTCCAGCAAGGTGCCGTCGTAGGCAGTACGACGAGCTCGCGGCCTCGACCGTTTTCCTGGGTTCCCTTTTGGGACGACTTCCCAGAACAAACAGCCCCCAACTGGGAACTTCCGACAAGCCTTCCAACGGACCCCACCGGCCCGCAAGCGCTTTTGTTCACGTCGGTCGAGGCGTCAGCTATGTCTGAGCCAAAAGCTTGGCCCTTCACAGCCACAAGCCTTGACCCTTGAGCCAAAAACGTCAAAGAGGTCACCTTGAACGTGGCTCTGCAAAGCTAGCCGCCTACTTGCTTAAAACGAAAAGAGGGCCAACAACTAGGAACATCAAGGGGAACACCTTCGCAATACTATATATATACTATATATACTATATTACTATATATACTATATATACCATATATATATATATACCATATATATACCATATATATACCATATACCATTTATATACTATATATATATATATATATAAATATTAAATATATATACTATATATATACTATATATATATATACACTACATATATATACTATATGTATACTATATATATACTATATAAATACTATATATATACTATATATATACTATATAAATACTATATATATACTATATATACTATATATATATATATATATGTACTATATATCTATATACACTATATATACTATAAATACTATATATACTATATATACTATATATACTATATATACTATATATACTATATATGCTATATATACTATATATACTATATATTCTATAAATACACTATAAATACTATATATACTATATATAAACTATATATACTATATACACTATATATACTATATATACTATATATTTACTATATATGCTATATATATATTGTATATACTATATATATAGGATAAATACTATATATACTATATATACTATATATACTATATATATATACTATATATACTATATATACTCTCTATACTATATATACTATATATACTATATATACTATATTTACTATAAATACTATAAATACTATATATACAATATATACTATATATTATATACATACTATATATACTATATATACTATATATACATATTTACATATAGACATATACACATATATACAATATGCATATGTACATATGTACATATGTACATATCTACATATTTACATATACTACATTTTTACATATATACATACATACTTTTTTTCACCCACCCAACTCCCACATCCACAGGGGGGAGGGGGGAACCATGACCATGGGGGGGGAGGGGGGGGTCCCGGAACCTGGAACATATATGGTTAGTATGGTTTTATATGGTTTATATAATCCCATTGATTATCATACTTAGCTACTTAGCTGGTTGGTGGTTTCAACCAACCCCTCTGAAAAATATGAGTGAAAGTCAGTTGGAAAGAAGACATTCCCAATAAATGGAAAGTCATAAAATTCCGATGTTCCAAACCACCAACCAGATGATAACTATTGTTAACCATCTTGATACATAGGTGTAGATTGTGATTTGATCAAAAATGGTGATATAACCAACAATGGGGATTTAACCATCAAGAACGGGGATGCAAGATGGGCCCGGTTGAAGTTGGTGCGTAAACCACTTTGACGATATAGCAAGCCAGGAGTAGTTCCCACCTGATTTTCTCATGAAAAAGGTGATTGACTATGAACATTGAGGAATTATTCGCGTCTGTTCACACAACATTGGGGGTGAACCATCAAGATCCTGGGGAAGTTAACTACACCATTAAGTCGGTTGATAAACTCCATGAACCATAGTTATATCCAGTTATATCCCCCAAATCCTAGTTTAAAACAGTTATAATCCAACTTGGCTATCGTTTGGGAACCCAACAAGCTTCTTTTTCTGGGGATGAAAAATGGGGCTATGAATAGGAAAAAAGAACGGGTCCCATATACAGCCAACTATACGAACTATAGGCCTGTTGGTTGATGGTTAGTTCGGGATTATTATAATCCATTATGCGACGAGAGTTTAGAACACTGCTCATTTGAGAAGTCTCCAGAAGTACCCGAAAAATATGTTATTGTTTGTGTCTTTCTCTTAAATGGATCGTTGAAACTGGGATGGACATTCAACAATTCCAGAATTATATTGGGTTTGACTAAGTCTTTACGGTTCTTTAATGGATTTGTTTAAGATTTTCTAATTCATCTACAGTATGTGTGTGGATGTTGGATTCTTTGGAATTTCAATCGGAAAACTTCGCTGAGTGATTTTTTTCAATCGGAACAGACCTGGACTGTTCCTAAGGCTTGAACTGTAAAGAAAATCATTTCAGTTGAGACTCTCCTCGATGATTTTCCCACTGCTCCGACATCTCCATGGCGCCACGAACATTTTCCAGCCATGTGAATGATTAGCAGATGGAAATTTCATTAGTATGACATTAATGACTGATGTCTGGTAATGACCTACTACATTTAATGGTGATTTAATGGTGATTAATAGCCATTAGTAACTAACTATCAATGACATGACTATGAAAATCACCATCAAATCTCCATCAATCACCACGAATGTCACCATGATTCATCATTGAATCTCCATTTTTGTAGTTGACTATCTCCAGAAAATCTGTGCCCCTGTCAGAGATGATCAACATCGGTAAAATCACCCTGTTTTGTAGGTCGGAACCATGCCGCTATGCCCTCCACATTACCTTCCGGGAAATTTTACCATAGCTATGATAAACGTGGCCCTCATCGAATTAAGTGGACTATGTTCCATGTTTTCCCGGGTGCTAACTTTATATCATCAATACTTCACGAGCTGGTCCATGTTCAAGCCCAAAACTAGGATCAAAGTCTCCTAAAAGTGGGTTTCCCACCACCCGTGGATCACGTTTGCCCTCTGGCAAACCAACAAAAAGCTAGCTATTGAAAATTTATTGCCATAGTTTTCCAGTTGATTATGTTGATTTACCCATTAAACATGGTGACGTTTCGTTATGTCAACGTTTACACCGCGGGAATTGGGCCCCTTGGGATATCCTGGGATACCCTGCCATAAAGGGCAGCGTGAGGCGTTCACCCATGAAGGAGCTAGACCTTGGCGAAGGTGTGGATCTCAGAAAGCCGAACTTTGTGGAGATCAAAACCAACATTAACCATCAAACCTGGGGGGGTTAATCTGGTTGAACCGGTTTAAGCAAGGTAAATAAAATCCTGAACTGGCTGTTCAACTGTTCAATGGATTGGTCTTCCATCATGAAAAATATGTGTTGATTACATGAGTACAGAACAAACGTAACCTGTTTATGGATCAAGGATCACTGGATATATAAAGTGGCTTCTGGAATTTCAACCTTTTGAACCCACCCCCAGTGATTAGAGTTCCGAGCTGAATGAGGATTGTTGCACCAAAACATGGTTCCCAATCTTTAGATTCCTTGTGCTGGTCCGATATAGACCCAATTATGCCAATTGGAGGACATCTGCCCATCTTTTTCTAACAACCGATTCCAATGCCATTATTTATTGTTGGTTTCTCATACGAATTATGGTGAGTTGGCGCATGTTGCTTGGGGAAGAAAGGCCACATCAACTCCGAGTAAATAACCCAGTCAGCGGATGCAACATTGCACATCCATCTCTCACACACCATCTTCCCCGAAACCCAAATCTGGTAAAGGTTTGTCAAGAATTATAATGGCATTCAATTCTTATGAAGCCAACCCAAGCCTGACCAAGAATTCACGCGCCTTGACACAACTGACCAAGACCCATCCAGCTTCCTATATTAATGCACCTTATACATACTATATATTTTTTTATATATATACACACTATTACATATATTATTATTATATATTATATTATAGTATATTATATTATATTATATTATGTTATATTATATTATGTTATGTTATAATATATTATATGATATCACATTATATTAAATTATGTTATATTATATTGTATTATATTGTATTCTATTATATTATATTCTGTTATATTATATTCTATTACATTATATTATATTATGTTATATTATACACCCTATACGCCCATAATATATAATATTTTACATATCTTTGAGGATCTATGCATGCATATAGGTGCAAAATAGTTATGTATGCGAATTTTGACCACATTTCTGTTGTTGCTAAGAATTTCTGAACATTGTCGGAAAAGCCCTGTCGGAACCCTATTTTTGTCGGAATTATTGTCGGGACCCTAGATATTGTACATTGTACATAGTTTGAATGTGTTTGAATAGAACCCAAGTGTATTCAGCTGGAGCGTGACAAACCGTGACATATCATGACAATGACAATACCTAATTTTCATGATTAAAACAATGACATTATCGGAGAACAGCGTGACAAGCCGTGACAGGCCGTGACATACATTTTTTCTGGAACCACAAGTTTGGAGGTAACCATCTTGGAGTTATGGAAGAAACATAAAAGTTATAGAAATTCATGGTGCCCCAAATGTCATCAAAATTTGATGTCGGATGACAAATAGGACCGTCGGGAGGCCCCACAGCCTACATCCCGCAAAGTATGCAAATCAGACGATGGATCTACAGGGTATTATGCATATTATACACCCATCTGGGTAAATTATAATATTTCGCTAACCTGAATCAAGGCCTCACATGGGGATGATTTCCCTTATTAACCATGTTCCAGGGTTCGGGAGAACAGTGAGGTCGTGATGAAAATTACCCAGATATTATACACCCATCTTATACATAGCCATTTCGCCACATTTCGCCCAGGAACACCGCCACGGTCATCAGGATGTTCACCTTCCCTGCAATCTGTGCAGCCGTAGCACCCAACATCTTGATCAAACACATGCCTGGCACGTTGCCGCACCCGATCACTGCTAAGAGGTGACTTTGGGAATCCGGGAATCAGAAATCTCAGTTCAGATGAGTCTCAGTTGATGGGAAAATCCTCTTTGGGTTGCAAGTGACTATGCAAATGTATGTATCTCTTTACTTTACATATATGCTAGACATGTGGATATCCGTAATGCCACACATGCATTGCAGATCATTGCAGTATACGTGGGGGTTTGACTGTCCTGTTTGGTTGCCGATAAGTATGCTGGTATACTCACAATCAACGTTCCACAAGGTTGGTTGGACCCAAAAAAATCGCCTATTTGATTGATTCGATACTGTGGTAAACCCAGTACTAAACCATAAACCTCCAATTTGTGAATGCTTGAATTTCTGGAAAGCCATTGGGAATGATTCATGGTCAATGGCTGGTAGCTTACAAGTTTTTTGACGAAGCACCGTATCACCGTATCAGGCATCTCCTGGACACGACTGGACACAGCTGGGGACTGACCCCATGTCACTTCCACGGCGGGATTAGACGAGGTCGGGAAGCAAAAACTCAGCTGTTCGAATGCAGTATCATTGTCAATCATGAATCATCAACAGCGACCTTCAACATGACACTCAAAAGGAAGGTCCAGAGTTGCAATGCAATATCTGTTCCAATCTGACGGCAGCATTATGTCAAGTCTCCATGCTGCAGAAAATGGATCTGAAGTTGAGCCCATTCCGGGAAACCAGCCGGCTTAATTACGACAATTCACCAACCCACAAAGTTCGGGCACAGTTCGCTTCCCCTTTCCAGTTGCAGTAACGTCGTGGTGCATCGTTTCAAGGCAGGTTGCCTATCCAGTCAATCAAGTTCGAAACTAGTTCTACATGGTTAGAAAAAATCACATGTATAGTAGCCTCCAAAAATATAGAATAATAAATCCTACTAAAATAGTGATAATATGTGATAATTCGCTTTCCCATCCTTTTCCGAGGTTACTCTACATGAATATCACCCCCTCAACTGGATTGGTACCCCACCTGACCGGCTCCATGAATGGTAGATTGCCATATTATAACTATTGGTACATTACAATATATCTCGGTAAATTATAGTATTTCATCGAACCTGAATTACGGCCTCACATGAGGATGATTCCAGTGAGGGAGAACAGTGAGGTCGTGATGAAATTTATCCAGGTACAACAACAAACTTAACTTTGAAGGCCTCAACTGGGGATGATCCCCCCTTATATACTAAGCATGATTCCAATGAGCTCACGACGTGAGGTCACTATAAATATCACCCATGGGCCAGTACAACCCAATCCAAGGCCACCCATGATGCTCAGGAAGACGGCTGAGACGGCGCTACAGGCCAGCCTTAACCAAGAAGGGGCTGAGACGACCCTGCTGCCACGCAGTTCGCCAAGTTGGTTTTTAACTGGATTAAGGACTCGCTTTTATGGTGATTCAATTCTATTTCTGTGGTTCAATAAACCAAAAAAGGCCAGAGGGCACCAGCTTGCAGGGAATCTTGCTCAATGGAGAATAACTCCGTTCTCTAAAAATTTCGAAGCCCAAAAATCCGATGGGTTTATCAAAGTTTATCATCGAAATTTGGAGCACCAGTAGCCGCCTGATACCTTGCACAAACATTGCAGAAGGGTCCAATGACTTGAACCGTTGCCCCTGGATTTCTGGTCGCCAGGGGGATTTTTTGGGTGACCAAAGCTATGAAACCATAAAGAGTCTGAGGAGTCATAGAGCCATGGTATACTCCTGAGGTTTTGATGCTCTACATATATATATATATATGTATAATTTATCTTAGTGCCTTTACATATACTTTAAAACAAATCCCTAAAAACTTGTGTGACTTCTTTGACTCGAATTATACCCATGGCCTGTCAATGTGGCTCTTCCACTCCAAGATGCATAGTCGCCGCTTCAAAGTTCATGTAAGGGATCTGGAAGAATGGCTCTAGGCCTTCAAGGACCTTGCCATGGATCATGCCATGGAACCGGGCTGATCAACCAATTTTACTTGGAGGATTATTTGACGCTAGTAAGTCCCTGACTCGTGGCTTATTCCACTTGCAAATCGGTCATAACTTATAACTCCAGTTACCCTCCAAGTACCCTGCAAGGGGTGTTATGGTTTCCCAGCGAGAGGGACAAAAAAGGCAAGAAAATGTCATGGCAGGGTGATCACTAGAGGGCCGTCAATCTGCTTGCCGTAAATCTCAGGAGGTGGCCAAACCCCCCATAGGGGCAGACCAAACGGCTGGTGAACAGTCCCTAAATGAGTCTCCCAGAACTGAGTCAAATGCAATCAAATGCATTGTTTTGAGGGCTGTATTTACATGTTATCTGGGCAAATTATAAAAGTTCACTAATTAACCTGAAAAAAGGCCATTTCAGGATGACTCCCCTTATTAACTATGATTCCAGTGAGGGAGAACAGTGAGGTCGTTATAATTTGCCCAGATGTTATGATGTTTCCCCCGGTATTTCTGATACAAATTTGACGGCTTCAAGCTCAGTCCACCAAGGCGCCAAAGTTAAAACCAAGCCGAAGAAGAAAACCTGGTGCCGAATGCTTGGCTTTCATGGGGATTCCCAGTGGGTGTATGATCACCCCCAAATACATTAATACATGCAATATATATATAGTTATTTAGTCATTTATTTATTTATTTATTTATTTAATTTATTTATTATTCATCTATATATATCTTATAAATATATATATATTATTATATCATGTGTATATATATATGTATGTATATATATACATGTATATATATATATATACATGTATATATATATACATACATATATATATATACACATGTATACCCAAAATGCAGTTACGGCACTCTTATGCCAGGTACTGCGTTTTTTTTTACATGGTACTGCGCAATTTCAGAAATGATGTCGTAATTTCTGACATTACGGAGGAATCTCCCAACGTTGCGGCGTAATTTCCCAACATTACTGCGGCATTTTCTGACATTGCGTGGCATGTTGCAGAGCTCACGGAGTAGATGAATTTTGTAATTACTAGTCAGGTATTAATTAATGTGGTTGAAACAATAATAAACCCATTTGGAAATGGTTTATCCACCCATTGATGGTGAAATTGGGGATGGTTTATTATTGTTTTACCAACATTATTGTGATCACCTCTCTGTCAATCAATCGGGTGGTGAGGATGTCCCGACGTCACTTTTGTATGTCCCGCGTCAAAATTTCAGGGCGCCAAAAAATGGCATGTTTGGTTTCCGGCACTTTGTACGCAATGCCTATGTAGCTATAGATATGATTAATGTTAAATATAAACATATACAAATATCATTCACCATATATATAAAATGATACTTAATATAATATATATATAGATATTATTATATATCATACAAAAATATTGACTACATATGAAAATATATATAAATTAATTATACATTTACATTATACAGTATACATCTAAAACATATATATTAAACATTATGCATTACACATTCTATATTAAAAAACAAAAATACATCAAAATTTAATTATATATCTTACATATTATCAAAATAATATATATATTTTACAAATAATATATAATATATAATAAATATAATATATATATAATGTAAATAATATATATTATATTATATATATATATTATATATATATTATATACTATATATATATTATATTATATACTATATATTATATTATATACTATATATATTATATATATTATATTTTTGATATATATTATATATATTATATTAAATTATATATTAAAAATATATTAAATATAAAATATATAAACTATGAAATAAAATATATAATATATATATAATATATAATATATAAAAAATATATAATATATGTAATATATATAATATATATCATAAATATAGCATATAATATATATAATACATAATATATATATATAAGACATAAAATATATAATACATGTAATATTTATACTGTATATATATATAAATTATATACATGATATCTTATATATTTATATTATATATAAATATATATATACATATATTATACATATTATATATATATTACTGTAATTAAAATTAAAATTCAATATATATATATATATAAATTTTAATTGATATATTTTAACTACTATGTAAATATATTATTTATAATATATACAATATATATATATATTATTTATATATAATACATATATACATATATATTATTTGTATATAATACATACAATATATATATTATATAATACATACAATATATTTTATAAATACATATATATATATATATACAAATCAAAAAATAAAAGATATATAATATACACTATATTTTGAAAAAACCTAAATATAAAATATATTATATATAATATATAATCTTCAAAAAATAATATATGTGTATATATATATATTATAATTATTTGTGTCTACTTAATTTTATTTACGTGCTTGTATTTTGTGTCATGACCATACTTATAGCATTTGATGTGGTGTGTGTGTGTGTATTGAGGTATTCCCTCCGATCACGCGCCAAGGAACTGCCGGGGAAGTTAGCGCCAGCAATTTCGTGGGCGACAGCTTTGGACAGTCCTGCCAAGTTAAGTGGGATGATAGCTCCATGTTCCCATAAAACGATGAGAAATTTTACGATCATGGCTGCCAACTCTGGTACCCTCTGGTAAACTAACGTAACTATGGAAAGATCCACCATTTTGAATAGGTAAATCCACTATAAATGGCAATTTTCAATAGCTATGTTAGTATACCAGAAGATATTTGAAAGCCAAATTTTTGGATTCCACTCCAGGTTTATCAGTTTATCAACAAAAGAAATATCGAGCGGGGACCAATCATTCATTGTGGGAGCCCCTTCAAATGGTTTTTTTTCCATTGTTGATAGCTGGAAGTTTCACAGACCCAGAGTGATATTTCCATATATTTCCTAGCTTCTTGCTGGTCAACAGATATTTCAAGCCTTGGCAGTCGGGTGCGCAGGCTTTAAGCTCACAGAAACTCAGTTAAAAACTCAAAACTCTCCGAGAAACTCAAACTATAAACCTCTCTAGACTCTGCTTAAAATGTTGCACAAATATGCGCACATACTCATTTGTGAAATCCCATTTTGCTGGTGAAGGCCCAGTGATGGTGGAATCCCTACTTGCACTACGAAAATCCCCATGGTCTTGGTGAGATCTGTGCTGGTGAAACTTCCATGTTTCTTCTGGTTCACCATGCCTGGTCAGACTCGTACTGGTTCATCTGGCAATCCATCAGCACTGAACGAATGGATCGTGCAAACAAGGCACCTGGGTACCGCGATCCAACGAATCGCAAGACGTTCGAAACACGGGCACTTTGGAAACCATCCTCAAGCCCAAAAAAAAGAAGTCTCAGTCAAACCGTTTTTTTGGGGGGCGATTCGAAGTTGGCATCGAACATTTCCCCCAGCTTCCATCCAGCTTCCAGCCAGTTCCAGCATCAGTTCCACCAGTCAACCATGATATCCCCCACTAAATCATTCCATTTTCCATAGGTTTTCCTAACCAAAAACCAGCCATCCATAGCAGCCACGGCACCAATGCCCAAACTCATCCCCAGCAGGGCCAGGGAGGCGCTCTGGCCCTCCAGGGTCAGATTCCGCAGGCCCTCGCGGCTGATCACCGCATCCTGGGCCGAACGAAAACGCGGCGCAGGGCGTTTTTGTGGCTGGTGGATCAACCAGAGAAACGATTATTCTTTTTTTTCTATCGCCTTGCACCTCTTGCCGCGCGGTCACGGCATTGAAACTAGGCGCTTTGGCACCAGATGACACCCGAGCTAAACTCTACGTTGCCGTGCAGCCGTCAAAATGTTATGATTTTGAACATCAAACCCTCGATAATCTGTATGGCTTAATTTACTGTGAATTAATTCATTTGATCTGAAAGTCCATTGCTGTCTAGGTCTACCAATACGTCTTTTTCCTATTTCAACGGGTTCTGCGCTGTCTGGTTGGTATGTAACCTGCCTTAAGGGGTCACTGTTTGGCGACCGAAGGATGTGCCCAGCGAGTTTAATTCTTCTCTCATCAAGTAGTTCAGTGAATGGTTTGACACAGCCATTACCTGATGGGAATGCGATGTCCGAAGCTGTTTGATAAACTCGCTGGTTGGTATTCTGCCTGTTTACATACGTTGTTTGCATTCGCAGGATTTTTCTGAGGCCTCGCAAATGAAACGCATCCAGTTTCTTTCGTAAAACGATTATTCTATAGGGAATAATATCTGGGCAAATAATAATAAACTAACCTGAATTAAGGCCCCCTTTCCTTCCAAAAGGAGCCTGCACCCAGCAGCTGCGGAGTGCAGGCTCAGCTCCAAGGCGCTCTGCCACATTCGGCAGGTAAACACTAATGATACCCAATCAGCTTTGCTGATTCTCCCGTTTCTGTCTCGCCTTTGATGATCGCCGGTTGTATTTGAAATTGTCGCATATGGTAATCCAGTCTTTGTCTTGCATTTCTGTCGTCCTTTGTTTCAACCATCCCGGCTTGAAAGGATGATCGTATGATTTTTTCCCAAGTAAATGCTCTTGCACAAAGTCAACCACTTGCTGTTGCTTTGGGAAGCATGGCCGTGGTGCCATCCCACTCACCCATTGCCCAAAGCCCTGAGTGCACAAGGGGCAACAACTGCCGTCTGTGTAGATGTTAAAGGGTTGGTTATGTCACTGTCGTTGGATGGCAAAATCATGATTTCTTTTTCCATGATGATGGCTTGAGGTTGTTGGTGATGTAACATCTGATGTATCTGCATGTCTGCATGAGAATGTATGACTGACATCTGAGAGAATGTAAGTCCTTCTTCATCAAATTGGCGCAGTACTGTCGTGAATGGCTCTCTGATGTGTGTGTGTGTGTGAACACGGCGCGCCCCTCGAATCTGTGCTCTTTACTGTCATGCTCCCCACAAAAGGGACAAGTACCATCAGATTCGGCAGTCCAGTGAGCCTTTTGGCTTTCCAACTGATATGCTCCAGAAATTTCCCGGAGCAATTGCCTTCGTTCCGGGTCTGAAAAAGTCTTGAGAATGGCTAAGGTATCACACCTGGAAATATCTGGCATGGAGTACAGGCTATGTCGACTCTGATCATCAAAACCAGTTTTTGTTGCCACGCAAGGCATAACATGTGGTGTAAGTTTGGAAAGCAAATCCCTTACCAAGTGACATTTTGTGAAACCATCTATATGCATAAAACCCTGCCTGTCAATTTCCCAGGAAAGATTTCGGAGGTAACGTTTAAGTGTGGAGGCGGGCCCTTGTGTACGCATGGTTCCGCCCTGGAAACGCACTGCAATGTCAAAAATCGCCTTTTGTTTTGCATCGGTTTGGTGGGAAATCCATTGTACTGCCGTTCTAAGAGCCTGGGACAGAACTGCAAATTCAGGATCAAGGATATCCCCATTGGTGAGAAACAGTACCAACGCTGGTGACTTGCTACGCGATTGCCCTACAAGTGCTTCTGCGGCTGCAGTGCGTACTTTGGCCAAGGGATCAATTGAAACTCGAAAGATTTCGGTCCCGTAGAACATTGCAGGATAAACACTACTTCTGAGGATATGCTCTTTGGTTGAGAGATCATGTGGAAGCATGGATAGCCGAAGTAATCTTTTCATGCCATTGTCATACCTGACTTTTCTGCTTCCAAGTTCCCTAACTCCAGAACAATGCAGCTGAAAACCAAGGTCTTTGGCATTATGGCATCTTTCAATTTCATGTATTGGCATGTCTGATCGAATGGACTCCCAAGCTTTGTGGGCCGTCTCGGAGTCTGATGCCCATCTCCATGTCTTTTTCCAATCAATGTCAAGGCCGCAGCATTCTGTGACATCTGTTGTGGCTTTGGCTGCAGGACCATGGTCATGTTCATTGCCGGTGTGCCATGACCAGTTGTCTGCATACGCGGCTGTTGCAGCTGTTTGGACGTTGGATGCCCAAAGTAGTGCAATTGACAGCATTACCAAGACGGAGTGAGCGTCTCCCTCAGGGAACCCGCACGTAGGCTTTACGGGGCCAAACCTCTGTCCGCTTATTTCCCAGTACCTTTGCATTCGTTGGATGCTACTGTAGAATTGGTGCACTCTGCGTGGCGGGAGTCCCATTTTCAGTAATAGTCTACGGCTTGCTTCATGGCGTATGCAGTTGAAACACTTTTTGATGTCAAGCGTCAACCCTGAGATTTTCTGGCCTTGGCTTTTGGCTATTTCAATCATCATTTGCATGGCATACGCTGCATCATGTGAGCCTCGGGCTGGCAGCATGCCAGTGATTGACGCTGGAAAAAAGGTGGGCCAGAAACGCAGAACCTGTGTGCAAAAAAAAAGCACAAAGACGGTAGGTCTCACTCATGATACATATTGGTCTGCTTTGTTGCGCAAGAGGTGTATCATCGGTTTTGTTGAGTGGGCATACCCTCGTTCGCATGAACCATGTAGGAACCCCCGTCTCATAGTTATTGCACACATGTATAAGTTCTTGCAAAAGCCCGTCCGGAATTAACTTAAGTTCCTGTGCAGAGACTGCATCGAACCCTCTTGCAGAAGAGGCCCGGAGGTTTTTGACTGCGGTTTTCCACGCGTCAAGAGTGTCATCAAATTGGAATGGCTCTGGTGGGTTGGGCATGTTTTGCAACAAAGTCTGAAACTCAGGCCACTCATCATTCGCTGAGATGTGGTGTTCTGCCTGCCACATCGGTATCCAAAATTTTGTGAGTTGATCTGCTACCTCATTGGGCTCAACAACAAAGTGTTTTTGGGTAACCGTGGCAACTGTTTCTTCTGCTGTGGGCATGGTTCGGAATTGCACGGTAAAACTGTGGGAGTCCTGCTGTACAATCCGTCCTGTGGCATCTAGCATATGGACCGGCGCCAAAGTAGGAAAAAATGTTGGATCTCCACAAAAGCATTCGATTTGATTATCATCAGGATTCCAAGTTGAGATGCATTCTGCTTCACCAGGTACGTACACTTCTGTGATCGGCAGTGCTGGGGCACCTTTAACTTTGGCAAATGCCTGAGAAGTATCTGGTGTTTTCTGTCACAGTTCCTGGCAAATTTGCATTTGGCTGCAAAGATAGTATGATACTTGGGCATTGACACAGTGCTGGACATATTGTTGCATGAATCCATGTGGCTGATAGCAAAGGCCATGGCGGTGGTCCTAGCTCTGGCAAGTTGGCAAGCCATTCATGAAATGGTACTCCAAAAGCTGTGGATTTCAGGATAGTAAGCCATTCTTGCTTTGTTTCCTGGAAAAACTTTTCCGCAAGGTTATGGCAATTTCTCATTTTGTTTAAACGTCTCCAAAAAGATTGAAGCCGTCTCAACTGTTTGATCTGTCTTTTTGTTGGCATTCTGTTGATTTCCAACAAAGGTTCGCAATCCCCATCTCGAGCTTTTTTTAACCGCACTAAAAACCGGGGTTCTTACTGGGTTACGCAGGCTTTTCTGAGATGTGAAGTTCCGTTCCCATGTTCATCTTGGGTGCTGCGAAGGCTCACGTCAACAAGGTGTTCCAATTTCTTTCGCCATTCTTCATGTGTAGTGGCAGGCGGGGTGTGCGTGCTGGCATCATATGCTGCTCGCAGGTCAATGTGACCCAACTGAGTTGGCATCTTCAAGGTCATCTTATGGAGCGTTTCGTGAGGCATTTGTAAACTGAAAAACACCGGGCAGTGTGTTGCAAACCATTCAGGTGACAACACCCGGACATGACCCATGTATGGGATAAGGTGTCGGGATATGATGGCATTAGCTGGTCGAGTAACCCCTTGACATGTGGGCTCCATTTCGTACCCATATTTTTTGTTGGTGGAGTTCGATCAAGTCAGCACATCCTTTTTGTTTAAGCACCTCCCATACGGGTAAGTCATTCCATATTGAAATCTCCGCAAGCAATAAAGGGGAGTGGAATTGTCATGCCTTGCTGCAAAGTCATTTGAAGCGAATTGTTCAGGTATTCCTTGGCATTTTGGTGGCTTTGTGGGATACTGTACAATGAAAAAATCTGCACATGTGACTGCCCACAACTGGCAATGGTAGGCACAAATCTTGTCGTGGATCCCCATTCATTTGGTAACGGGTTGCGGCATGCTCGCATAGGGATATCGGCCAAAATGGCTGTGCCCCCCGCCCGTCCTGGAGTGCTGGCTGCACCATTTTGGCACATTCGTTGAGGTGCCACTGGGTTGGACCAGCGTGCTTTGAATCCAATTTTGGTTAGGTCTTTTTGACACTGTGCTTGAACTTCTTGTGTGGCTGAGGTTTCAGCCAGGCATAAAACGTTGACCCGCTCTTGGGTAAGCAGCTCTGTCAAAGTTTCTTTTTCATTTGCAAGACTGGTTGGATTGGCAATGACCATATTAAGCAAACACTGGCGACGTCGTGGTCCTGATTTTTGGCTTCGCCGATTCTGTCAGCACGTCCCAAAATGGGCGCATGCTGCTGGCAAACATCATTGGCAAGGCCGCGGTCGACACGGGCCCAGTACCGTCTGCCGCTGTCTTTCTTTTCGTTGATTTTCTTCTCTCTGTTTCTGATCTGCTTCTGTTCATTGAGCCAGAAGAGCAACGGACCAGACACCGTGCCGCGCAGAGGCCAGAAGGAGAACGACGGAAAGAGAGACAGAGTGTAGGAAGACAAGCTGGAGGACAAACAGGGCGTGACAAAAGAAAGACAAGGCCATTTGGGGATGATTTCCCTTCTTAACTATGATTCCAGTGAGGTCGCAGTGAGGTCGCTGTGAGGTCGTTATAGTTTACCCAGGTAATATGTGGAATGATCATGATGATGATGATGCTGATGACAACCGTAATAGTGCTGATACTATGAATGATGATAAATTTTTAAAAAAAACAGTGATGGTAATAACATGTAATAACGACGATAATAACGATGGTAATACGTTACTAGTAGCAATGATGATAGTGCTAGTAATGATGACGACGATGATCCAAAGTCTACATCTTTTTGATACAGCTAGTGGTCGAAAATTTACCGTAAGTTATCATACAAACACGTGGACTGATCGATGGGTTGCATTGAAAATGGTAATCACCAAAAAAAGATGCCATACAAAGCTGATTATATAAACATGCGGATGTCACTCTTACTAGGTGGGAACTGATATGAATTGAGCAATGAGAGTGCTCCCCTGTGGTAATCGAACATGGTAATGGCAATCTCCACATTAGATTACCAATAGATATCAATTTTCCAAAACTGGTGATTATGCTTTGCGACTGCGGAATGTGCACAAAACTGAAGGGGTATCATCTATTCAGTGACTCTAGTTATGTGAGCATCTACTGGACACCTGGGTCTCTTACACCACAAAAGGTTTCCTGCCGCCCCCAGTTCGATGGCAAGCTACACCAGCAATGGCAATTACCTCAACGGCTTTGATGGTGGCAGCAACATAAAGGGGTTCCTACAATGATCGTGTTAAACTGAACAGATGGAAATGGCACACAGAGGTTGATTTAATGAACATACCCCTGTGATGAAACATGGCAAGCTGGACAACCCCTGTAATTAGAGGTTTTAATGGGAAAATCAACTACAAAGGTTATCTAAGTTCAAGATAGGTGCTTGATATCCAGCTATAAGATAGGTACGCTACGCTTGGTACGCTTGGTGCGCTTGGTACGGTACGCTTGGTGCGCTTGGTACGCTTTGGGTAGGTACGCTTGGTACGCTTAGTAAGGTACGTTTGGTACGCTTACCAACCGTACCGACCGTACCAACCGTACCAGTGAACCGTACCAACCGTACCGTGCCAGATTAAGGGGGGGTCAAGGGGGGGGCGTTTTGGATGTACCTATCTTATCAAGCGTACCAACCGTACCAACCGTACCGTACCACATGTACCAACCGTACCGTACCAAGAAAACCAAACCTACCAGCCGTACGTACCAGACATGTTTGGATCTTACTTAAGGCCTCTACCACCTATCTTGAACCTAGCTAATACAAAGGCTGGATTTTCCATTGAAGAGAATACTCCAACACTTGAGTCACCTGAGACAAGTACCTCTACATGTGATACCAACTAGCATGCTTCAATACCCTCATGGAACCCAGAGCCTAGTGTCTCCTTCAAGGCTTCGTCTGCATTCTGTCTTTGTCTATCTGCTCCCATGGTTGACGCTTAGCATATGGGGATGCACCAGCTATGACTTAGGGTACCTCGGGCCGGGTTTTGACTATCTCCCCTGGTTTATCGAACCCCAACATATCCACATATCATCTCCATGAATGCACATCCCATTATATAGTTAGATACATACGATGCACTCTACATTTATGAATATTAATGTACATTCTATACTATATACCATTAGTACATCCCTGTGTTGGTCTTCATTATTGTATTCCATTGAATGTATGTATCAATGGCTACAAATACCACTAGCTATAAGTCATGTATATTATTTCATATATCACGTGAAGATACATGAACAACTGTCCGAAAAAATGAGTCACCAAAGTTAGTATGTTTTTATGTTATGTAACTGTTTAATATATGTTATAATATATGTGTGTGTGTTATATATATATAGCCACTTTCATCCGTTTTTAAAATGAATTGATACATCTGGGTGTTTCTTAGGTCACAGAGGATCCCACAGCCACCACAAGTTTCAATGCTAAGTCAAGGTCATCCATGACTTGATTTTTTTTGGAGGAGTACCCCCATGACTTTTGGAAACCCCATATGACTCATTGATTGCTTCTACATTCATATTTCGAGCTGATTGTAAAGCATTATTAACCATATATTCACTAATAAAGTAATATAGAATCCCATAACTTAGGAACCATGACTTAGGAAATCCCATGACTTCCAAAAATCCTTGGGTTCTCCAAGGCCAATCCTCGGCCCTCGGCCAAGGTGCAATGCCAAACCAGGCCAGAGATTTGAAGCTCTGGCCCAGTGCGGCGCTCATTAAGGCAGTCAAGACCTTCAAAGCCAGCGCGTCAGGAAAATCGCTCGAAATGGCACCAATAAGCACAGACAAACCAACGAAGTTAATGGTTGTTTTTGGCATGCGGCTGATACGGCGCTCTTGGAAGGGTTGTTAATTTTGAGATGTGCCATTTACGATCCCTTGGAAGGGTTGCAAATTTCAAAAATGAGGCTTTCCAAAATGGGGGTATAGGTGGGTATGGGATTCTTTAACATGTTGCACATGCTGTCGTATGATCATCAGGGGGTGGGGGGTGTATTAAGGTCCTTGACGAGTACTTCCGTTACGGAACATGCACTCGTTGCACATGCTGTCATATGATCATCAGGGGGGTGGGGGGGGTGTATTAACGTCCTTGACGAGTACTTCCCTTACGTTACGGAACATGTACATGTTGTTGACATGTTGCACATGCTTTCTGACGCGCTTTTGCGTTGTCACTGCAGATGGAGCCAGAGGTTTTGCAGCCAGTTGTACCAAGGATTATCACCACAAAAGATTCAAAATGGCCCAAATCAACCACAAACAAAACACCTTTACTAAAGGTAAATCTTATAGAACCATTGTTGCTGTTACTCAACAAATGGATGGAACATGGAAACACCTCAAAAAATGGCAACCTATGTCCGTGCTCCACAAAAAACATCAACAAGTGTACAAAAGAAGATGCACTTGGGCCTACAGCTGGACATGGCGTCACAGTGCTGCCTTGTTGCAGTCTGTGGCTTCTGCGTTACCACAAGCGCTCTGGCACTGAAGCATCAAGAAGAGGAAAAAACTGGAAGAGTGAATGTCGCCCTGATATGATTCGGATGATTGCAAATCATAGATTTCTAATATGTTTTTTCGACCCTTGAAGAGCAAAATCGGGTCACCGCGCAAGCGAAACGTAAATTTTCACTCTTGAGTCACACGCCCGCCAATCGAAATGAATGTCCATGTTGCAAACATTTTTTGAGGACTCCTGCAAATACCCGCATTTTAAACCAATTAAAGTTAATGTTTGTTTGTTGTTTGTTGGTTGATTGGTTGGTTGATTTGTTGGTTTGTTTGTTTGTTTGTTTGTTGGTTGGTTGGTTGGTTTGTTGGTTTGTTGGTTTGCTGGTTTGCTGGTTTGTTTGTTTTTTCTGGGCTTGCAAACCAACTAAGTTATTTTTTTCTGGGATTCTTTCTGGGAATGCATGGGACTATGTGGAGGTTTTGCAGATAAACCAACGGATATTTTTTTTGGCATGTAACAAGGGTGCCCCATAGTTTGCATGGTTTATGGTAGATATCTATATTATATACTCAGTGGCTGTTGTAAACCAACTTACACCGTTAGGGGGAACCACCTTGTAGCTATAAATAATGTTGTTGGTAGATAAACAATGGTGTGTGAAAGGTATGTGACTATCTTTAACGTGGTAATTATATAAACCCAAAAACTTTGGGCAGATATCAAATAACACCAACTACATTGCTTTCTTGGGATTTGTGCAAGATATGGCAGTTGATCTAAATTCTGTCATCTGCAAACGACCATTGCTCGCAAAGAGAAAACATAATTGTTGGCTGATATGGGAATTGATGGGATTTGATGGGTGCAAGTTTATTGATGGGTTTAGCCTCGGTAATTAAACGTGGGTAGCCGGAAACTCCCTGCACTAAATGGAGGTGTCTAGCTGGAACAATCATCAAACTAATAGGGGATTCAAGGACTTTGTTTACATGATAATATCTACTTTGATCTACTTTGCTTACTTTATGTATGTCTATATCCAACCTATGGAAAAATTTGAATGTCCTAATACGTCGTATATGTCGGTGTCACGAAAAAAACCAATCGAAGCGCCATGACAGTCGATCAAACCCGCCAAGATGATCAATGAAGGGCTTGGTAAATATCTTAAACATCACACAACTGGGATATGTATTTAAAAGATAATTATTATATATCTGCTTGGTGGTTTCAACCCTCTGAAAAATATGAAAGTCAGTTGGGATGATGACATTCCCAATATATGGAAAACTAAAAAATGTTCCGAACCACCAACCAGATATTTATATATATACATATATCCAACAGATACGTTTCCAAAATCCCTCAAAAAGGGGGACATTTGCCAACCCTGCCATGGTGCTGGTATCATCTGGTATTGGTATTGAGACTTTAATAGTAAGCTTAAAAGAGACTTATATAAACAATTTTATCTATGATTCTTTTATGATTTCACTATGTCGGATACAATGGAAAATTTTCAGATATGTGTTATTATGTTTTTTTTATGGTTGAATTTATGATTTTTGATGGTGAAATTTATGTTTTTTTAATGATTTTTAATGCCGAGAAAAACAAAAAATAATCATAAAAAAGTAAAAAAACAAAACATTGAAAAACACATGAAAAAAACATAAAAAAAACAAGATCATTAAAAAAAAAAAAACATTAAAAATCATTAAAAAACAAAAATAAAAAAACAAATCATAGAGTTATGATTTTTAAGGTTTTTTGCGATTTTTTAATGAGTTTTTAATGATTTTTTAATGATTTGTTTAATGATTTGTTCTGATGATTATTTTTTGTTTTTCTCGGCATTCAAAATCATTTAAAAAACATTTAAAAAAATCATTAAACAATCATTAAAACGAACCTAAAAATGCCAGCACCAAAAAAAACATAAATTTCATCATAAATTTCATCATATTTTTTCATTGAAAAAATCCAAATCATAAATTTAATCATAAAAAATCATAAATAAAATTATTTTTAACATAAGGCTCCCTTGCTACTTGTAAAGTCTCAAATCTGGTATCTGCTGGCAGACTTTTACCACAGATTTGTTCATCAACGATGGTGGCTTGCAACTTTGAATCGGGGAAATCTCGTCGTAACTCGTCAGCAAAGTGACGGATCAGTACATTGTGATGCCCCCTAGTTAAGTTGAAGTTATGTTAACTTATGTTATACGATTTATAACTTAAGTTATAACTTCGATAACTTCTTAGGAGGTTTTTTTGTTCCCTTTTTTTGATATGCCATGAATTTTTATAGAATGATTTGGTTTCTGCAGTTTCTTCGTTTGTGGCAGGATTCTCTTGCGTTTTTGGCCGCCAAATGCGACGTTTTCATGGCAAGAACATAACCGTGCCGCTTTCAGCGGAGGTCCATGCCGGTATGTGCATGTTTTTCATGCAAGCATATTCAATGAATTTCTTTTCAGCGGTCTTTTTGAAGATTCGAAAAAACTCTCCAGCTTTAATTAGGGCCAAGGGCGCGACAAAGAAATGTAAGCGGCACTTGTCCAGGAAACACAAAGAAACACATTTTAAACACATACGCGTTTCCTACCCTCTACGGCCTGCCTGCTGGAAACACATACGCGTTTCCTAAGGTAAACGCAGTGCAACATGGAAACACATGCGTGTTTCCATCTGAGTTTGCTGTGCTTGGGTGGAAACACATGCGCGTTTCCAATCTGTCACGGAAACACATATTATAGTTCATCGAAACTGATGAGTATCACTGTGCAATAGGAAACACATTTCAAACACATTGCGTGTTTTCTTGCGACTGGCTGCTTGGAGTGTGGAAACACATGCGCGTTTCCTTCATTGTTCTACGTTGTGATGAGAAACACATGTGCGTTTCCATGTTTTCTTTGATTTTTGAAGGGAAACACATGCGTGTTTTCTACGTTTGGGGTTCCTATGATGGAAAACACAGGCGCGTTTCCAGATCCAGGCTCTTCAGCGTAGAGAAACTCTTTTTTTTAGATTCAGCGTTTGAAAGTCTCTCATCTGCGCAAGGCTATACAGCGCATGTTGTGTCTCGACTCTATTCCATTTTTTTCACTGCTTCCATGTTGGCGTTCGATGTTGCCCGCAGGCGGCACCGACTGGGTAAGACAGTCTGAAGCACCATTTTCTGCAGCTGCCATGACGGTTTGGAAAAAAAACTCCCTTTGAGCACTGAGAAACTATCATGGCATACATGACTCAAAATGAACAAAAAAATAGCTAACTCGCGTAACTTCGATAACTTCATTTTATCTTTTTTCCTTGGGATAGTATAACTTATGTTATAACTCCACATCTCATGTTATAAATTCAACATAATTTATTCAAGTTAGCCTATGTTATAACTTATGTTAACCCATGTTATAAATCATCTTGCAGAGGATATAAGTCAAGTTGTATCTCGGGGGCATCACAATGTAGGGTCACGCAAACAAAAAAAAACGACGCCTGGCCTTGTGATTTAGTCATATTTAGTCGTGATATGTCGTGATCATAGCGAGCTGCTTTTTCTAACTCTTTGGGGAGTGATTTACAAGAGGACTTTTGTCATGAATGCTGTGCAACAAAAAATTGCATCAATTATCTGCTTTCTTCTCCGAAACTTCCTAGGACTGATTCTGTCATTTTCATTCATTTTCGACGTATGACTCAGTTCTGGACTGGACAAAGGACACCAATGATGGAATTGAAGCCGGCACCGATGTACTTCAACGAAGTTGTATTCCTTGGGCTGGCAGGTCATTTTGGCTGCCTCAAAAAAACACGTTTCAAATGGGGATACAATTCCGAAAGCCACCAAACCAGGCATAGGGATGATAGTTTCAGGGAACAAATATGTGATTTTGATTTCCATTATAGGGATGCAACCCGTTTGAAAGCTGGGCTGACCTTGGCTCACAATGGCACGCGTTTCGTGATTCAAACACATCCCAAAAAAGCAGGTTTGCCATCTCAGGTTTGCCATCTCAAAATATCTGGCTGTGTCTGAAAAGAGGGCACCCCAAAACCATATGATTGATCATCATTTTCCTACCAGTTAAAGCCATTTAATTTTATGGATATACCGTGGTATACCAAAATTCAGACACAGCATGACACCGTCAGTCCTTTAGCGTGCAGCAATCAGGAGCAATCCAATATATCCAATCTGTGCAAATGGCTTTGTCTGAAAATGAACTAATTATACTTAAATCCCATGGTTTATCATCATGCCACATCTATGATTCTTGGGGCTACGTGCCATTTTCACACAAAGCCTGTGCAAATGGGAGCTCCATGCTGCAGAGTTTCATGACAACATTGGCAGTTTGGAGGACCGCAATGGGCAAAATCCGTCTGCCATACCAAGCCGCATCCTTAACCAGCTCCTCCTGCCAGTTGGCGGTGGCTCATCTCACGAATCCTAAGTAGGTTAAAAAAAATGGTTGGGATACTTAGGATTGTTAATTCATGTTAATATAAACTAGGGATAATCCTGGATACTTAGGGCTACCCTTCGGTAAACTAACATAGCTATTGAAAATTGCCATAAATAGTTGATTTACCAGCATGGTGATGTTTCATAGTTAAGTTATGTTAGTTTACCAGAGGGTATACCTACCATAAACCCCACATTTCACCATGGTAGTTAATGATATATCCATCTAGTGTCCTAGTACCATTGGTGCCATTGAGATAAATCCTAGTCACCATAGATAATCCATGTTTATCCATGTTAATCCACTAATCCACTAGGTTGAACTCAAGATTCGTGGCTACCGCCATGAGTGGGCTGTGCGTTTGTGCGTTCTACATCTTTGTAGGCAGGGATGGAGTTTCCACAACAACAACAACAACAACAACAACGACAACAACGACGACGACGACGACGGCGACGACGACGACGACGACAACGACAACGACAACAACAACAACAACAACAACAACAACAACAACAACAACAACGACAGCGACGACGGCAACGACGACAATGACAACGATGACAACGACAACAACGACAACGACAACGACAACAACAACAACAACGACGACAACGACAACAACGACAACGTCGACAACGACAAAAACGACAAAAACCACAACAACAACAACAACAACAACAACAACAACAACCACAACCACAACGACAACGACAACGACAACGACAACAACAACAACAACGACGATAACGATAACGACAACGACAACGACAACGACAACAACGATGACAACGACAACAACAACAACAACAAGAACAACAAGAACAACAACAGCGACGACAGCAACGACAACAATGACAACGACGACAACGACAACAACGACAACGACAACGACAACAACGACAACAACGACGACGACGACGACGGCGACGACGACAACGACAACGACAACCACGACGACGACGACGACGACGACAACAACAACAACAACAACAAAACAACAACAACAACAACAGCAACGAGAACAACGATAACGACAACGACAACCACGACGACAACGACAACAACGACAACGACAACGACAACGACGACAATGACGACGACGACGACGACGACGACAACAACAACAACAACCACCACAACCACAACCACAACCACAACCACAACCACAACCACAACAACGACAACAACGACAAAAACGACAACGACAACAACAACAATTGGGTTTAAGGGTTTGTCTGAAAATCGAAACCGCATTCCATCCATTGGTTAATCAACATGTTACCCATCAAGGGGCATGCCCCATTTTCAGACAAACCAAACTCATGTGGTAAACCCAATGCCATAAACCTACCACTTTGGGCATGGTTGAAATCCCATCATAATAATGATGAATTTGGGGGCAGTTTATGGCATTGGGTGAACCCCACTTTTCACCCCAGTTCCTTCGCAGAAAATTGGGCCAAAGTTCACCATGGCAGGAACAAAAGTCACAGCATGTTGTCTGGTGGAATTCCATAGATTCATTCATATTCATCCCTTCCCGGTACTAACAACTCCAGCTGTGGGGATATTTGGCAAGAGGAAGGGATTCATTCGATTCAATAATATTCAATGTAATTCCGCACTTCACCTGACATATCTGACATCTTAGCTTCAAATATGCTTGGAATTTACCCTCTGGTCATTTGACATGGCTATGGAAAATCACATTTCTTAATGGGAAAATCGAGTGTATAAATGGCAATTTTCAATAGATATGTTAGTTTACCAGAAGGTATGTGATTCGCCCCAATCCTAAGCCTCTTTTTGGTGAAGTCGGCCACATCTCCATCGCGACACCACCGTCCTTGTCAACAACGTAACGCTTCCAATCCTTGTGCTTGGCGCTGGGAGAAATCGGAAGGAACCCTGGGTGAAACCATGGGTTCCCCGCAAAACAGGGCTTCAAATTCAGAAATCCATATAGAAAGTGAGAAAATCCACCAGAAGTCATTGAAATTGGGTGCTTTGCGCGCAGACAATCTTCAGAACCATCATGTTCCCTTCAAGACTATGTCTTCCCCAAGGGCATATGGGTGTTTCTCAAAATTGGGGGTATCTGATTTCACCTTTTTCAGGATCGTTTAAAGGGGTCCAGCATTTTCAAGAGATCACACCCTTAACCGCCTTAACCCATTAAGCACCCATTAAACCCCCATGTTTCTCCAAGCTGAGGAGGCCACCACACGCGTCATGAAGGAGCTCACCAGCCACACCAGGGAAAAGTGCACAAGAGCCTCATGGCTCGACTCGAACATCGAAAGGTCATCTCGGAGTTCAGAGTTCAAGGCCCTCTTCACATCCAACCCCCAAAGGAAACCATATGGTTTTTATACGTATAGTTGGGGACGAAAGTAAAATGGATGAATGGAGTTGTTTCATCATTGGGATACTTGGTAGTTCACCACAGTAAAACCAACCCAAAGAATTCCACCAACCCACCAACCCTCCAGCAGTTTGGTGACCCAATACTTCTGGGTGATCAACCCATCTCCGGGCTCCATGCAATGCACGTAGGATAGGGAAAGCCATGTTGCAAGACCTCGTGGTGCAGTTGGCGTGAACCAACCGACTGACAGGGAACCTCCCAAGTCTCCATCGGCAAAATGCAGGGGAGAACTCATGGAAAGCCTAAAACAGATTACTGTACTTCTAATGTGAAACCATGAACGAAGTTCACCCCATCAGCACATTGTACATTTGTACATTACTCCTATACTCTTCCTGATTTGGGGGCACTTTTAGTGCGGTATGTATACTTGATGGCTCATCTCACTTACTAAGTAGGTTATATCCCTGGTTATAAGTAAGATTTTAAAAAAAAAAAAAAAAACTTATACTGTATAATCCACTTATAACTAGGGTTGTACTGGGGTAGTTATAAGCGTATAACCTACTTAAAAGGTGGTATGAACCACCAAGTATGTCTAAAATGGTGTATGTACCAGATCCCATTATATATTGGTTCCCTCAAAACAGCAGGTCTGATTGGCAGCCCCCATCCCTCAACCTCCAGTGGGGTTAATCATTGGGTTCCAAATGACTTCCACCATTTGAACCCAGCAAAGGACGGTCCCAGCTTTGCACGGGCTAGCCGGCATGGCCTGCACTAAAAGCTTAGTCATTTAGGTCGCGGATGCCCAACCGGGATGGGAGTTCATTCAGTTGGGTGTAATGCACTGTGAAGTCTCTGATCAAACATAGGAGCCAGAGAAGTGCTAGGCGTTCCATCTGGACAATCACCAGGTTGTACTTGCTAGTCAGTGTAGTAAAATGGTGGCAGATTCCTAGCCAATGCAGGCAGCGAAATACTGACCAAACTATCTTCCCTATTAGAAGGTACCAAACAACTCGTTTCATCTTCAAGCGAAGATCACGGTTGTATTTCGCAGAAATTCCACAGACCAGTCTCCAGGCAATCCACGACAAGAGCAAACCAAGCATCAAATACAACAAGTAAAACTTGTTTTCCTGTTCGAAGAACTCTTCAAATGATTTAGTCGACTTTGTCAGAAGCATGACGCAGAATTCGCCAAGCATTGCAGCTGGCAGGAAGCTTCGCAAAAACTGCCTGGACAACATGTCGAAGGCTCGCCCACAACATCTTTGCTTTTGCTGAAGTGAAGCCAATCGCAGTACAATGGACATGGAGGAAGCCAGTAAGCAGGTATTGATGACATTGTACATCACGGCAACTGTGAAGACCTTCCAGCTTAGTGACACATAAATTTGCCACAGCGGAACGGCGGAGGTTGCACTAAGAACACATGGGACGACCACCAGCAACAGCTGCCCGGGATCCCTCCCACATTTTCGAAAGGTCTGCCAGCCCAATTTGGATGTTGCAACCAGCCAGCCAGCGTTTGCAAGCAAGGTGAGCCGGCACCGGTTCAACGGCAACCCCAACATCTGGCAGCTAAACTCCTGCCAATGCCGTTCATCCAAATAGATTTTGCAAAGGTCGCAGTCAGTGCAAAAGCACGAATCCTCAGGGCATCCTACGCCATGTCGGCTGGATTGCACGGTGCATCCCATGTCAATGCTTTGCAAGATTAGCCAGAAAATGAAGATCACCAGAATTGCAGCCAACACTCCAGCGGCTAACATCAACCACTTCACCAACATCAGAGGCATACATAGTGCTTCTATATTAGGCTCCGGTAACAGAATCCCTGAGAAGTCGCCACGGGAGTTTCTCCAAGGTCGCTGCTTGCCATAGCTCAACTGTTCAATTCGGTTCTGCGCCTCTTTGGAAGCCGTTTCCACGTCCTGCATGACAACTCAAGACTGACTGGTTAAACACAGAGCTGAGGATAGCTAGCAAGAGGGTTGATTTTGTCAATTTCTCAGTGTCTGAAACCTCCAACTGTGTAAATCTCAGCTGCGGTGAATTATTTAAGGGTCCTTCCAAGGATCATCAAGGGCTTCGATCAAGACATCTGCCAAAGAATATGCATCGTTGGCAAATCTGCCACGGTCACATGCGAGCAGGATGTGAAAGTCTGTTTCAGACCGGCGATGCACTCGTTGCAGCTGTGACTGCTGGTTCCCAGTCCAGGTGACGATCTCTTGGTTCTCGCGACATGCATCGATCGTCAGCCAAACTTTCAGCTTTTCAGATTTGATGGAGTCAAGGGGAACTAGAAGTAAGGGGTCCAAGTTCACCAACTCCTCCTCACGCTCCGGAAATCTCACATCTGACGGCAAAATGGCAGGAACTTCACTGGTGTGAGGTTGCCGTCCGTGAGCTGCCATGAAAACCACAACGACATGACACGTGGAAGGCTTCGGGCGATCTGATTTGATCAGGTGCATGAACTGGCCAATGGCGGTTTCAAGCTCGCCCTTCGTCACCTTGGAGGCCCATTGGGTCAGCTCGCGGCAAAAAGAAACACCTGGGACCAATGGAATCACATGAGACAAAATTTAAAAAAATAGATCAAAAATAGCATCTTCAGCAAATCCATGTCACCCTTCCCAGCAACAGATAGAGTCTCTCCTCAGGTAGCTTCCTGCCACGCAAGAACTCCGCGAAGTGTTGAGCATCGCGGCGCGCGCCGGGCAGGTTGCAGAGCCCCTGGCAGCTGTACTCTTCGATTCCAACGCACAAAGCTGCCAGGATCGGACACGGTGCCATGATGAGCTGAGCAAAAATCCAACAGACACGTAAAGCGTATCATTCCTTTCCAATACCCATAGGATCCATGGTGCTGGTATATATGCTAACATAAAGGGGGTATATTGATGGTAAATGTTACCATATATATATAGCATACATGGATCCTAATTATAGGATATAGCAAACAAGCACCATCATTTTTTACCATGGATGTAGGGGATTCAAAGATCGAAAGCATGGGCTGTTTTTTTACATGTTATAACAATGTTGCCCCCGACCCAGCTGAAGGGATCAGAATACATATTTCATGGGCGATGCTCTGTCGTAAGAGTCATTACCCTGGGCTCGGCCACAAAACACAGAGGTTGCTACAAAATTGGGTACCTGTTTGGACCTGAACTCGGAGACGCAATTCAAACATCGAAAAATCTTTCAAGGTAACCATGGTAATCTTGAGCTGTACCCAAATACCACCAATCAAATTTACAACATTTTACAACATTTGCCTGGAAGTCAAATGGTTCACTTTACCCATCACAATCCATGATTATATAACCCAGGGTTTTTTCGTGAGTCATTCGGATCTTCTGGTGGATTGCCCGAAAAGGTCGCCAGTTGGGACAGGCCGCAAGTTTGGTGGACAGCTGGACGAAGACAATGGCCAGGACCTGCAGATCTGCATGGCTCGACAAATGGGTCCAAGATGGTCTGCACAACAAAAAAAAACATGATATTGGTTGATCATGGAACTCGGAACCACTTTTCATGGGGTGGTTCAGAAATGTTCAGAATTCAGCTTCTGTTTCAACACGTTGAAAATACCTGCTGGACATTGTCATACAAGATGATTTCCATTCACACCCTCCGGCAACTTAACAGTTTGCTATGGAAGCCATGGCCCATGAAAGCACATGGTTGACTCATTATTTCCATAACCATTACCCATGGCAAACTCTTGGATTGCCGTGGAGATCAGTCGATTCACATCAATTCTAATTACCCATAGGATCCATGTATGCTATATATGGTAACATTTACCAATATTTACCATCAATATATCCCCAATGTTAGCATATATACCAGCACCATGGATCCTATGGGTTATGATAGACTGGGTGAAGCCACCTTCGAGAAGGGCCGTGAAACGGCAACATCTCCCAGCCTTTTTCTTCTTTTGTTTCTCACACTCTGTCACACTCAGATGACAAAACAAGCAAACAAGCACTTCACCATATGTAAAAATCTATATGCAAATATTATGAGATATGTATATATATATACACACACATAAGATCCATCTCTTGCAGCAGCTGTATATAAATTTCGCAACCCCCTTCAACAGAAAAAAAACAATCCATCCATATCCGTTTCCAGTGAAAGATGTGACACCCAAATTCGGAAATTCGGCATCTTCCCAGGATTCCCAGGTCCCCACCTGCGTGGAAATGGCCCCCACGCCTTTGATGCCGTGACTGCGGTAGGCATAGCCCAGGCCTGGGCCAGGAAGCCATCTGAGAAGCTACTGATTCATAGGGATGAAGATATATATATATATATGTATATATAAATGTGTATGTATATGTATATAAATATGTATATATATATATATTATATATGTATGTATGTATATATATATATCATATCTGTAATCGTACATACACAGCAACCATAATTTTGATGGTTGGGATTGTTTGGGTACGGCTCAAGATGGGCAATGGCAACTTTTGAAGCGAAATCATGATAAACCATGTGATTGCGTTTTTTAAATCTGGAGCCAACCCCAAGATTGCTTGGAAATCGAGAAGTGACCATGGTTTGTCACCTGTTTGGGTATATATTGTGCGTGTATGATTAAAGATCCATATAGTGCATTATATATATATATATATACGATGTACACGACACATATATATCATATATATAGATATATGCATATAATAATAATGATATATATATATATACACATATGTATATATATATAAAAATATATTGTGTGTATATTATAATATATGTACGGACCATGATTTCCTAAGTTTAAGTAAGAAATCTTTAAAAATGGAACATGTCTATGAGTCCTCTATTGCATGAGTACACATTTTGACCGAAGCAAGGAGAGGGAACAGAACAGAACAGAACAAGTTGGCCAGCACAACGCAGTACTTTTGCGACTGACTTTGCGCATTAACATCACAGAAATGCCTGTGTCACAACGTGAGAACGACCCTTTGCTTGGTTCCTCATTGCATGTTTGCTTCGATGATAGATTTGTGCAAATCGTCACAGATTATGGGGAATCTAGAGATATGTTGAGTTCTATTCACAATAATACTGGTTGGTGGTTTCAATCCCTCTGAAAAATATTAGTCAGTTGGGATGATTATTCCCAATATATGGAAAAAAACATGTTCCAAACCACCAGAGTTTTCCCAGAGTTTTCGACAAGATCACCTGCTCGGTAGCTGGAGCGAGGTGTCACAACCAAGCTCAAACAGCCAACTAAGCCACCCGCATGGTGCCGCTTTGTGCAGCCAGCGGGAGGCTCGCCAAAGCCCCTGCATCCCTGGTACAAGGGGTGGCCAAAGATTTCGCAAGCCACTGCTCCACTTCCGCCAGTGCACGTCTGTCCCATGGAAGGGAAATCGCTGTAACAAAGGCTTGTACCACATCAGACTCTGGACGGCAAATGGCCATTGCGGCCTTCATACCAGTCTCACGCAGCAACGCCTTGATACATTGCTTGAACCATTTGACCCTCTGCTTGAACTCAAAGACCTCCGGTGCTAAGTAGGCACGAGCCGAGGCATCTACCCACCTCTGTTGCACCTTCAACGGTCCTGGATGCCCCCAAGCCAACTGAAAGTCAATGTAGAGTTGCGCGAACGAAATCCAAACTGTGTCACCTCCCTGCTGGGCGGTGAGTCGTTCATGGAACCATCGCGTCACCTTGTTATTAACCAGCGATTATTAACCATTATTAACCATCATTAACCATCATTATCCCATACATTTCACCAATGTTCCAGTCATGTTCCAAACCACCAACAATTAAGATGTTTTTACTAGTTTTTACTTGACTTTTTATGGCATAGACTCCATGAGATTTTCAAAAAACGATTGCCGAATCATCGGCTCCAATCGGCCATCTTCCAGGTCCACCCCGGCGCGGCGCGCCTACGAAGATCAGAAGACTAAAGGTCAAGGCCAACCAGTGCGGCAGCACCAGTGCATCTGGGACAAGACCAAGACGACCAAGACCTCGGAAGGATGACATCGATGAGAGACGTGGGAAAGCATGAGAAACCGGTTGCGTCATTAAAAAACAAGACACATTGCTGATGTTTGCTGCTTCGAGATATTGCTGGGTTTCCAAAAATCGGGAAACCGCCCCAGTTCTCATCCATTTATAGCTGGGATTTTCCATCATCCAGCGAGCTTGGGGATACCCCATTGATGGAACCCCTCAGATTTATCATCGGTTGAATCGATTTTAAACGGGATTTCTGCAGGAAACGTGAGACCGTAGATTAAGCGCGCGTAAAATTGGTCAGAGTGACCACACTATGCGCTATTAGTAGCATTTATACGCTAGTTTTTATACGCTATTAGTACATATTAGTACACAGTCTTAATAGGTTTGTGATGTTTTTTCAGGTGATTTTCCCTTCAAAGAATGAGAACTCAATTGATATTCTCCAAAATTTGGCCCATGCCAAGTCCCCAGAACACTGAGACACCCGGACGTGCAGTGGACTTGATCACAGTCATTCTTCGTTGCGATATCAGCCGAGCAGTTTGGTGCAACGGCTTCACTACGATACATGTATCAGTAGGACTTCATTTTCTCGAACAAAAATGGGCTTCTGGAAAAGAAGCGCATGAAACATGCGAAGCTGCGAGGCTTAGAACCGCATCTTTCAGCCAGCCCCAAATCTGTGGATGCAGCCAGCCGGGACCCTCTGGTGGGCCAATTGTGGCAAATCTTCTTGGATATAGTTTTTTCAATGGTCATCTGATATCATCTGATCACATCAACAAATTGCCATAAGGTTCCCAATTCTCCATGCACTTCCGATTCATGAACTCTTTCCCACTGTCCCTGCATGTCCGTGCATGTCCGTCGCAGCCCGCGTGTTTTTGCACAGCACGCTGCTGCGTTTCTGATCTTTCGCAGTTCACAATATGTAGTAATGCTGTGAAACAGATTCGTGATTTTACTTCAGGCTTTGGGTTCACCAAATGTATCCCTCTGGACCTTCAGACGTCACGTATGACGTCATGGCCATGACCGAATTTTCATTGGTTTTCCAAGCATTTTGAAGCCAACTTAGGTATGTTACGACATGTTACAACTGACTCTTAAAAACATACAGCAAATACTTTTTTTAATCAAAAGAAAGGCCCTTTTTTTGTTTGGCAACTCAGACGGTGTTGTAAGTCGTTGACTTTGCTGATGTCGTTTGCCTCGGATGTAAATCAGTCGGGCCCAGGCGGGCCCAAGTCAGTTGCAGTTCCCACAATGGGATTGTACGTTTCTATATGTTTCTATCTTTTGGGTTGAAGGTGAAACAAAACTAAGCAGTGCTGAATGTGCTTTCAATTTGCTGGAACCCTGAACAGCTCTGTCTCTTTCCTGCAACCATCGGATGTGGGCTGAACTAAATTATTTCACAAGGATACTACCCTCTGGTAGACAAACATAGCTATTGAAAATGGCCATTTATAGTTATCCATTAAACATGATGCTTTTCCATAGTTATGTTAGTTTACCAGAGTGTACTTGTTGGCAAATGATCTCTTTTGCATCGTTTTTTCTCATAGTTTTATGGGAAGGCCTTATGCTGAGAACGAGGCTTCCAAATCACTACTTGGAGGATCATCCCTTTTAACTGGTTTACGGCGAATCAGCCATATGACAAAATGGGATAAGCCTAGGAATCGGGGACCAGGATTACTCACCACTGGATGTATCAGTTGCTAAGTTGGATGATTCTCCAACTCATCTGAAGCTGAATAAACCCAGCTAAGCAGCTCCGGAGCCAACTCCTTCATCTGTTCAAAGATGGAGGCACCCAACAAAACCATCGCAGAACCCGCCTGGGGAAGGCGGGTTCAAAAAAGACCACGGAAAGCTGTGGATTTGGCTTTTGAACCATTGAAAAAATATGAAAAAAATAAGCATTCAATTTTTCTCGAAAAGCATGAAGGCTGTTTTGCTTCTTTCTCTGGACTTGTTCACCAATAAAAAAGTTATGGAGGCCCCTTAACCCGACAGTTTGATGTTTGATCCAGTAATAAAAAATAAACATCACCTGAGTTGGAAAGGTGCCCATCAGTTCTTCAACCAAAATCATCTAAAAATTGACCCCCCTTCCAAAAATATTGACATATCGGTGGACCCCTATGCAAAATTGCACTGCATGGATGCTCAAAAGACATAAGTGAAAAGAAGACTGCCTGGCACCGTGATTTTGCTTTTGACTTCGATTGGTTTCTCAGGACAATCTGCCATAAAAGCCTTAAATCTACAATGTGGGGTCCCCCAGTTATAAGTTGGTTTATAAACACCAGTAAGTATAGTTATGTCAGTACATATAAGTACGAGAAACCATAGAAAAATTGGAGTTAAACGTTCGCCAACTTAGCTGTCGACTGGGGGTCCCACATTGTATTAAACATCATTAAATGTTCCCTCTTTTCCCATCAACCAATCAACTAATACCCGAGGTGCCACAAAGGGCAACGTGAGTCTTTCACCCATGAAGGAGCTCGACCTGAACTGATCCATGGCTCATGGCTGTGGCAACCGAACATGGTTTTTTTTCCACCCAAAAAATATGGAACTTCAAGGGGAAAAAAAAATGATTCATGGATAAACAATTGATAAAATTTGATAAAATATGACAAACCTAGCATGATTTCACCATCTGGCGCAGCCGGCTGCACCCCTGCAAGCAGACGGCTGCGCCAGAATTCCAATCTTCCCTTTTTCCACCATCGCGACGTGGGGTTGTGATCAAATTTATCCAAATCAGATCTTTGGGTTCTCCCAACATTTTCAGACAAACCCAGATTCCGATGGGCTATGGGCCAGAAAGTTTGCTGGGGTTTCAGCAAGGAAAACCAACCTGCAGAAGATGTGATTCACAATGGTTGGTTGATATTTACTATATGGATAATTTTTTTTGGGTACGGTTCAAGACTACTAACCCGGTGACCAAAAATGTTCGTAATTCTTCGCGGCAACCAACCCTTTTTTGTGATATCGACCAATGAGCGAATAATTTGTTTTTTCTTTGGGTGTGGGGTTCACATGCCTGGGATGATCTACGATAATGATCATCAACTTCAAAGCAATGGAATTCAAAACCACCAACTGTTCAGCAGTTGATCCCCGGTTGTGGTTCCAACTGTTTCCCGGACAATGTGGGAATCCTTCGAAAACCAGTCAACCAAGTCAAGGGATGGCACTCTTGGGTTCGAGAAGACGGGCGAACGTTACACTCTTGGTTTCTTTGTCGCGAATCCCCTATGCTGATGAGCTACAAGCCATCCTCAAAAATGGGTAACGGAAATAGTCCAGCCATGGCATGGAAAACGGACAACACATCAAAATCATCGGATTTTGTGTTCTGAACGGGATGGTCCAACTCTGTGCAAGCTTGTCTGGTTGGTGGTTTCAACCAACCCCTCTGAAAAATCATGGAGTTCGTCAGTTGGGATGATTTTCCATTCCCAACTGAATGGAAAGTCATTCAAAATTCCATGGTTCCAGTCACCACCAACCAGGTGATTATTAACCATTAACCATCATTAACCAAAGATTTTAAACCATTATTAACCATCATTGTTAACCATTAAACCATTCATGTTCCAAACCACCAACCAGTTGTATACTCATATCCCAGCCAGTGATTTAGGTGACTCATTTTGCCCGTCAGTGACTCTAGTGATCATCCACCAAACCCCAGTCCATGAGTCATTGAGATTCCTGGGTTTTCGGGTATGTGCCAGGGTCAAACATGGTATATGGGTTATGGTCATCCCTCTCATATTGGGAATCCTCATTGTGTGTATATAACTGAAAATTATATAATGGATTGATGAAAGATGCCTTTTATGGTCACACAATCCATCTTTTGACCATGGCACATATTATGTGTGTGTACAATAAATGTTATACAAACATATACATATGTATATATATACACACACATATTAAATATATATACGTATGTATATATATATATATAGGTAGGTAAGGTAAGGTAAGGTAAGGTAAGGTAAGGTAAGGTAAGGTAAGGTAAGGTAAGGTAAGGTAAGGTAGGGGGGTAGGGTAAGGTAAAGGTAAAGGTAAAGGTAAAGGTAAGGTAAGGTAGGTAGGTAGGTAGGTGGGCGGTGGGTGCTAGGTAACTGCTGCCTTTTGGGTGTTTCTGAGCTGTTCTGATTTGTTTCTGACCGTTTCGCAAGGTCTGTTCAACTGCTGAAATATCAAAGGAAAAACACGAGTACTACACTACGGTAGTACTAGAACTAGAACCAATAGGATTGGTAGTAGTACTGCTGATGGTGGTGGTGGTGGTAGTAGTAGTAGTAGTAGCAGCCATTATAGTAGTAGTAGCAGCAGCCAAATGAAGAAACACCCTAGCGCCAAGCTAGCGCGGCCCAGGAGCACCGCCACGGTCATCAGGATGTTCATCTTCCCAGCGATCTGTGCAGCTGGAGCACCCAACATCTTGATCAGGAACATGCCTGGCAGCTGGAGCTACGAATTGAACAAAAACGCCAAGTCCCCGAGTGTGCTAAAACGACTATATGGTTATCCCATATATATATACATAATTATATATATATTATATATATATGTGTTTTACATATATATATATATATAACATGCTATATTATTACATGTTATAACCATGGTTGTACTACTAAGCATTTGCGATTCGTGGATGATCCTCCAAGTAGAAAACGTGGCTGGCAATGAGAAATCTCCCTAGTTCATGGAAGAGGGATGAAGAGGGCAATTTATGTGGGTTCTTGATTAATATTGATTGCATTTTTTTTGTTTCATGCTACCCTCTGGTGATTTTTCACATAGCTATGGTTAAAATGAATTAAAATGGCCCATAGAAATAGATGGAATCTATGATGATTTACCATGATTTACCTAATTTCATATATTACAAATGGTTCTATGATGATTTACCTCATTTTACCTATTGCACATGGTGGTTGTCCATGGGTTTTCCCAACATGGTCTATTCATTTGCCTTGGAGAACTCACGGCTTTGAGTCGACTACGTCCTCTGGGATCCAGTTTTGGAACTCAGCTGGATGAATAGTAGATGAAATGGTTAATATACTGTTAATAATGGTTGATATATGGTTATTATATGGTTAATAATGGTTAACTAGCCATGGTGCAACTACCTGAAATCCACCTGCTTTGTGACATGGAAGAAATGGAAGGTTGCGGAGCGCAGCCCCACCGTGAGACTCTTAGATGCTTTTTGTATCAACACGAACTTATGTCAACTTTCATGAATGCTAAGCGCGCTGTCAAAAATGCGCGAGGTGTCATTTTAGCAGGAAATGAAATGACTTTTTGGGGGTTGCTTACCCAATCCTTCATCAACCAAGATTTATTCATCCACGGCTCACATTACAACAGGCCCGGGCCACCCATGATGCTCAAGAAGACGGCACAAAAGGCGCTGACTGCAAGCCTCAATCATTTGGCACTGAATCAAAGAATTGGAAACTGGGAAGACTTGCAGAAAACTCCGATATTTCATGGTAACCACAATCGTTTCCTCCAGAGATTTTTCCGTAAATCAATCCATTGACTGAAGCAACAATCAACTGAAGCAGACATTTAATCCGGATTGAGATTTCTGGACCACAAAATGTGGGACATCATTTTTTTTCATGGTCGCCCCAGCGGCAGGGCTGCCGCTTGTGAGCCCATGTAAGGCATGGCGAAGAAGGGCTCAAGGCCCTCGACGACCTTAGGCGATGCGCCCCATGAATTGCAGGATTATGTCACGGATTATCTGCTTGGTGGTGCTATTTCACCATCCCTATATATGGTTAGTATGGTTTAATATGTTTAAAAAACCCATTGATTATCATACTTAGCTACTTAGCTGGTTGGTGGTGCTATTTCACCATCTTGAAAAATGATGGAGTGAGTTCGTCAATGGGAAGGATGACATCCACTCATATGAAATGGAAAATAAAATGCCATGGTTCCAAACCACCAACCAGTTATATGCCCAGTTGATTATATGGTTATATATATAAATATTATATGATATACTATATGATTGCCATCCATAAATAGGCAGTTGATTATATGGTTATTGCCGTTATTGCCCAGTTATCAGCCATCAACTGCAGGTTGAAGGAGGTTGAGGATTCTCTGAGACCAACGATGTGTGAATCGACTGTCACTCAGTAGCAGCTAAGCTACTCCCACATGAATGTTGGCTCATGTCACCAGTGAACGTTCCCCAAAGTGAGCTTCCCAAAACTTAGTCAAATACAAAGATTGTTTGCAAATGTTGGAGGTTCTTTCGTTTCTGTCCTATTTTTTTTACGGGGTAGATACAAACTGACCCCTGCCGCCAAGTCACCAAAGTTACAACCAAGCCAAAGCAGAAGACCTGGACGCCGGAAAAAAAACAGCTGGAACTCATGATCCACAACACAAAGTCCCAGGTTTCTCCAAAAAATCACCATTTTTAATGGGTAAATCCACTATAAATGGTGATTTTCCATAGTTATGTAAGCGTTTACCAGAGATTTATAGTGGATTTCCCCCAAAATCAGGAACCAAAAGAACCATTTTTTGTCTGCCATTTCTTGCGGGGGAAAGTCTGGCGCCAAGGCACTGCAGGGGAAGTCAGTGCCACCAAGTTCAAGGGCGACAGTTTTGGACAGTCCTGCGATGTCCCGAGTTTCGGCGATTCGGAACGTGGGGCAGTTGAGGTTACACATGGATATAACCATGGTTATAAACCCCCACAAGTTGGAACATAGACCCTATAACAACTGCACTTCCAAGAAGTATACCTCATGATAATAAACCACTCATTTCTTAGATGCATAAACCACTGATTTCAACTGATGCAGTTGAGCGCAAACAACTTTTTGCTGGCGCCCATGTACCCATGTCCCCACCATTCCGATGAACCATCTGGGATCCTATTCGTGGCTTTACAACTGTACCAAGAAGAGGTGAGATCTGGAAGTCTGCAAACCCTGGTAAATACTATAAAAATATCGGTGACATAGCGTTGCAATACCAAACCTTATCACCAAAAAATACCCCAGTTTCAAACCCGTCAAATGGTGAGATCTAAAAAAACTTTAAGCGAATGTTCCGAGACGACGACCAACCGACGCTGGTGCAGCCCGGAGCCACCTGGTCAGACTCGTACTTGTTCATCTGGCAATCCATCAGCACCGAACGAATGGATCGCGCAAAGAGGGCACCTCAAGGGGCCCCAACAAAATCAGCACTGGCACATCTATTAGGCTGTGGCTTCGCAGCTTCGCAATGCTTCGCATCGAAAAAACCATGGTTATCCCTTTAGAGATGCGATAAACACATCTATTTGGACTCAAACAAAATCCGGGTGATTTCTGATGATTTCGATGATCCTGGAGGATCCGAAGCGAGCGAGCTTCGTGAACTCACTGGGCATTGAACCGAAGAGACTTCGAGACGTGGGGTGAGCGAAGCCACTACCAGTCATTCAGCTGAATCAGCAAGTAGGGATATGATAGAAAACAGCGTACACCTCTCAGTGAAAAGGTAATTTTAAGAGGGAAAATGAGGTTCTAAAGTAATAGAAATTTGAGGGGGGTTCCCTACATGTTCAGACAAAGCCATATGCTGGCTCCAAACAGCCCAATATCTACGGTCAGGTCAACATCAACCCTCATTTGCCAAACAAGAGTTTTCATGAAGGGAGTCCTCAGGTTGGCGGTTACAACCCCCTGAAAGTATGAAAGTGGAAAATAAATATTTCAAACCACCAACCAGTGATTCATATTGGTTACATCCCCATCATATCCCCATTTCAGATGTTTACGTAAACCATGTTAAATCCCCATGTTTCTCGGTTCATCAACCAACCAACCAGCCTTTTTGCTTCGGGATTTCCCTTCCAGACTCCAGATTCCGGGTCAGATCTCCATTTTTCCATTTCTCCATTCCCAAGCAAAAAACCAGCCATAGCAGCCCGGGCACCGATGCCCAGCATCATCCCCAGCAGGGCCAGGGAGGCGCTCTGGCCCTCCACGGTCAGATTTCGCAGTCCTTCGCGGCTGATCACGGCATCCTCAAGGCTCGGATGCGGAACGAGCGGAAATGACGCTGGGATGGACCCCTTGGGCCATGGAAAAACCATGGCCCCAAGTCATCAGCATTTTAGACGACCATTAGCTGATTAGCTATCTTAGACTATTTTTGTTAAGACTAAGATAGCTGAACATGGTCATCTATAGTTGATGTCCCCATCAAAAATGGTGATGTTCCATAGCTAGGTTACCAGAGGGTAACCAGTCACCCAGCAATGCGGGTAAAACAATAAGAAACAATCCCGCAAGTCATCACCATATATTTATGGGTAGGTTGTGTAAACCATCCTCAAATGACTCAAATGGTAGGTTGTGGCATTGGGTTGCCGACATTCTAAATCATATCAAACAGAAAAGAGTGCACAAAAACACTTTTAATGGGGGATGTGGATGAACCAAGCACTTATCAAAAACCTGACATAGCCTACTTTTTTATACTGTTTTGGTATACCAGAGTTGTAAACTTCATTCCCCAGCCTGTAATGTGCCCAGTGGACGACCGCGATGGGGGTCCATGTGGATAATCAGTGGGCGTACCATGGGGTACCCATGTTTATGGATTGCTTATGGATTGTTTATAATGGAAAATAAAAAATTGATGATTTGGGGGTAACCCCATTTTAGGACACCTCCATATCTTTGTGTACTGTATCCCATCAAACTAAGGACGCTTTGCCGCTTCGGTAGTGTTTCCCTGTAAGCAATTCTGGAATTGACAGGTCTTGAAGTTTCTGGTAGATTCAACAGTACATAGCTAGCCAATTGTTTACAGGAAATCCTCCTTACAAATGGGTTTCGCATAAATGTCACGGATAATTATTGCCAGACCTGTTAGCCAAAGGGTAATCAAAAGGTGAGCAGACTTCAACTTCACCATCATGACGAGCAACACCTTACTTACACTACTACGCTCCAACTCCATAGCTGCTGGCACCCATCTCGCCCAATCCAAGCTGCCCCAGCAATTGCAATAGCCTCAAGAGCTTTTCAGAAATGATGCGTGCACACCATTCGCAAAGGGATAAGGGTTCTTCCACTGATCATCCTCATTCAAGAAAGTATTATTATAAATATATATATATATAGATACAGTAGATCCAAGTACAGGACAATTAATGACCCATACTGCATAGTCCAAGTCGACTAACAAGTTTGTCGGTCACTGTTCACCTGTTCACATGGCGGATTGTAAATGCGCCTTTCCAACCGCAAGTTCCACAATCAAACCCTCCTGGAAACCGGGCTGTATCCAACTGACCTGTGGTATCCACATTTTTTCTGTGTTTCAACCATGAACATCCTCATGTCTTTTGCCTGAACCATCCCACTTTGCTGGATTTCAGACTTTTTTCCTCATGTCTCAAGGTAGGTTTTATCATGTTCTCATCCCATGGTTCCGTGTTCATTTTGGGGATTGGTTGGTGTCATCTCCATGTTTTCAATTTTGAAAGATCTTTGCCCCAAAACCAATCATGTCATGTCATTTGGATGGAATGATTTTGATGGAGTGTGATGTTTGATGGAACTTAAAATCTCTTAAAACCATGATGCTTTCACTTTCTTCATTCAAGAACTTCGTGGGTTAACCATTATTCCCATACGTTCTCCATATCTTTCCCAAAAAAAAACTTAGATGTGTTCCATATTCCATATTTCTCCATATGTTTTTTTCCGCCAAGCGACGATGCCCAGCCAGGCCAGTACTGCAAAGCGGCGACCCAGGAGGGCACTGATCAGGGCAGTTAAGACCTGCGAAATCGTGGGCATAGTGCCATGGTTAATGATGGTTAATGATGGTTAATGATGGTTAATGATGGTTAATAATCACTGGTTGGTTGTTGGAACCATGGAATTTTGAATGACTTTCCAGAAACAGTTGGGAATGGAAAATCATCCCAACTGACGAACTCACTCCATGATTTTTCAGGGGGGTAGGTCAACCACCAACCAGTTTAAATACAATTCCCCACTTGGTAGATGATTCATGATGATTCACAGTACATACCCTCTGGTTATGACTAACAGTTCGTCATGGAAAATAGATGGCCCATAGAAATAGATGGTTTACCGAACTGACAAATGGTGATGTTCCATGTTAGACAACCAGAGGGTAGATATTATAGTTCAACATATTGTCTACTGAATGGAAAAAAACATATTAACTATGTTAATAAACCTATGAAACAGTTAACATAACCCAATAAACCTTGTAAACCATTATCATGATAATTAAGACTATGGCAGCTATGTGTCTTATGGGCGGCTTAACTATGGTTTATGGTAGATATAACTATAATTCATGGGGGGTTATAATCTATGAATTCTTGGATTATCCATCTATAGATATTCCTATATAGTATAAATAGACTATTTATCAGGTAGGGATGGATCATCTATATATAGATAGGTATTTTTGTGATGGATAATCTATAGATTCTATAGATGATATTTCAGATATATAGATATAGATTATAGGTCTTATGAGATATGAAACGTCTATAATGTCTATATTAATGTAGATAGGTATATCAGGTAGGGATGGATACTCTATAGATAGGTATATTCTGATGGATGATCTATAGATAGGTATATCTATATTAAGTCTCATTATAGGTGATTGTATCAGGTCTATTTCCTATCCATATATGTATGAACTATGATCTATAGATATAGATGAAACCTATGTAATAATAGGTATCTGAAATGATTATGAAATGATAGGTATAGATAGGTATTTCTAAAATGATGAAATGATAGGTACATGAAATATCTGTATATATATATATACATGTAAAGAAATACCTATAGAAATATATATATATATACATATATGAAATGTGATGAAATCTATGTGATGCGTCTATAAAATAAATTTATCTGTGTCTGTATCTATATATACCAACCATTTGGGTAATAGTTAACCTGTTCTTGTTATATAGTCGGGCGGATTGTCAGTGGGTCCTAAAGATTCCAATGGGGATATTGATAATCCATCTGCCTGTCTATGCGTCTATATCCATCTACCCCCTGGTTATTTACAGTAACGGTTTCCGAGCTGGAAAATCACCATCTTTAAGTTCGGCAAACCATAAGTTTTGTCAGCTATAAATGGGCCCACATCCAAACAAAAATGAATAATATAGTAGTACAAGGGGCTTCCGCCCTTCCCCCAGTGATGTTTGGTGATTTACAACCCCAATTAATTATAGATATATCTACCATGCAGAAGTCCTAGTCGTTATAGTCATAAACCAACTTAGCTATCTTGGGGACACCACCTTGTGTGTAATTATATTTCATGAGTAAAGACAAAATCAGTTATACAAATAAGTACAACAGTATATAATCAGATGTGTTATTATTGTGATGCGTCTATAAATAGGTTTTGAAAATGATGCATGTATATATATATAATTATATATATAATTATATATATATATATGTGTGTGTGTGTTAATATATATATATATATGTTAATATATATATATATATATGCTCACCCCCCAAAGAACCTACCAAAACAGCATCTTCAGTGGTATTTACACAAAAAACAGTTGTTTTCAAGTATTCATTCCACTATATAGAAATTATTTGTAAATATATAATATGCATATGTATATATATATATATAATTATATATATACATATATGGTCACCCCCCCCACCAGGGCCTACCTTGAGTTTTTTTGTGGTATTTGCAGTAAATAAAACAAGCATTTTGTTGTCCAGCTTTTTGGGTGTTTGGTTCCTTAAGATCGATCCAGATTAATCCAGAATCGGAACCAGATCTGATTCATGCGCCGGCATTCGACCGTCAAGTCATTGTTTAAAAAAGTCGTAGGTATGCTGAACATGCCTAGTATTCCTTGGGGATGTGCAATTCTTCTTGGTGTGAAGCCTTTGGGGATGTAAAATTATGTTTTGGGTGAGGGAAAGCTTTCCTTCAAATAAATGGTGTTCTTGTCCCAGTAGAGCGCAGCTTGAGTTCTTTGAAAGGAGTGTTATATATTTCCAAGGAAATGGAGTCATCCAAAGGATTGTTACATATGTTCAAAACATGCTGTGACTTTCAAAAGAGGCAGCTGATTCAACGTGTTGTTTTTGGTGAGTAAAACCGTTCCTTCAAACAAATGGTGTTCTAAATGATGTTTTTGCTCGTTCCAAAGGTTTTTTGCAATGTTTTCCAATGTATTTTTGTTGTTTCCAAAGTTTTTGTGTTTTTTGTTGGTTTTGTTTCTGCTTTTGAGCTGACATTGGAAGTGTTGCTGGTGAGTTGGCATTGCTATTGGATGTGATCTGAGGTAGGTTCTTGGGGTGGTGGCCATATATATATATATATGTATATACATATACACATATATATATACATATACATATATATATATATATTATACATATATATATATATACATACATTTTTATATGACGCGATATATTTACACTTATATGTACGTAGTCATACATTTGTTTTATATGTGTTTTTAACACGGAAATTTGGTTGATCAGGAGGCGCCGCCAACAAAGAAATGGGGCCTGCTTTTGACTCTGACGTAAGATGAGGCATAAACCCCCATAAGTTGGGATATGGCAGTGGGTCAAAACCTTGTACCCCTGGTGAACATCAAAATAGCTGGTAAATGGATGTTCATCCCTCTAAAAATTGTATTAATAGGTATTGATCCATGCCCATATAAACCCTATAACGAATTATTCAAAAATACGTCGACTTAAAACTGGAACTGCACTTCCAAGTATGGCTCAGTGACTGGACAAAGGATGCCAATGATGGAATTGAAGCCAGCACCAATGTACTTCAACGAAGTCGTATTCCTCAGCCGCGGGGTTCATTTCAATAAATGATGGTGATTCAGTGATCCCCAATCGTCAAAAAATGGGTGACTGGTGACTCAATGCTAAGTCATGGTCTACTTTTTGATGATTTAAGGGGGTCCACCATTAAAAAAAAAACATTGATCATTGATCCTTTGAAAAAACCTTCTGAACGATTTCACATCTGTAAGTGGCGATCAACCTGGTCAGGGAAAGGCGATGGGTCGGTCAACCTGGCCAATTCATGGTTAAATCTGCTGAATCTAATCATGGACCTCCATGCAGCAGAGTTTCATGATGACATTGGCAGTTTGGAGGACCGCAATGGGCAGAATCCGCTTGCAATACCAAGTCGCGTTCTTGGATAGGGCCTCCTGCGCAGCGCCCGCTGATAGCATGGTGAAAAACCGGTGTGGGCTCAGTGTGTTCACCTCGATTCTGAAAGAAAAAACACTAGCAGTACCTGGTTTTGTCCATCGAGGATTTATCCCCAAATGTTGCAATTGGAAAAGTGAGGGTAAAGCGAAATGGAACTGGTGGTACCCCATTGACCCAGCTACCCGCTACCCACCATAGATCAAAATCCTAACTGAAAACGTACCCCAAATACCCTGTTGTAATTTAACGTAGACGTAGCTATTGAAAAATGCCATTCAGAGTTGATTTACCCATTAAAACTTGTGATTTCCTATAGCTATGTTAGTTTACCAGAGGGTAATCCCAAATATAGGGGGCAAGATCTGCAAGTTTTTTTCATCATCCAATTCTGGTAGGAGGGACGGCCACGAGTGTGTTCTCCTTGTCACTGAAGTAAAGCGTCCAATCCTGGGCTCCGATGATGGAGCCGGGTTCAGGAGCTCCCATGAATTGTGCTCCCAGCATGGTTTGAAGGGAAATTTTAAAGGAAACCGCTATATTTTGGAGTAAAACACCTATGGTTTGCGTCATGATTTTCCAATAAACCAATGCTTTGAGTCCTCACTTGTTGGTGGTACTATCCCAAATTGTTGATGGTTATATAAATAATAATGATGTAGCACATATCATATCATATATCACCCAATTTCTTAGAGGTAAAAAGTGACAATGACAACATATGCCATATGGCCCAATTTTTGGTTGGTTCATAAATAGCATCTGTTTATTTAACATAGCCATGGAAAATCACCATTTTTAATAGGTAAACCAACTATAAATGGGCCATTTTCCATGGCTATGTTAAATAACCATAGGGAACTATTTCTATGGGCCATCTATACCATGGCTATGTTAAATAACCAGAGGGTAGCAGTTTTGTCCCTGAAATAAACAATCCAGTCATGTCCCCGTGCGGGGCCCTGAGGTGGAAACCGCTTCGCACGTTGCCAAGATATGGGTCACCACCCAAACGAAGAAAAAGTGGATGAGAGCCTCGCTGGGTCGAAAGGAGTCAAAAGGTAGCTACTTGGGCAACACAATTCAACTAGAGAAAATGATGATATATCACGAGATTGGGGTGTTTTTTTGCATTTTTTTTTGTTTTCCCCATATTTGGGTGGCTGTTTCCAATATGTGTCCCATATTTCTGTTGAATGTCTTGTGGGTCTCCCGTCTTTCACTGGGCTCCACGCAATACAGGAAGGATAGGCGAAGCCGTTTTGCTGGACCTCATGGTGCTCGATCTGGCAGGAAACGACTCGGAATTTACCAGTCTTCGGCCCCCAGGAGATCGAATGATGTGGTTTTTACGGGGCATTTTTGTAAATCCCAAGCTCGTGGTTATATATTGTGAATCATCATCATCTACCAATTGGGGAATTGTATTTAAACTGGTTGGTGGTTGACCTACCCCCCTGAAAAATATGAAAGTCACTTGGGGTGATTATTCCCAATATATGGAAAAATAAAATTCATGTTCCAAACCACCAACCAGATCTAAATATTGGAGGGATTTGGATGGCACAAGGTGATTCACCCCAAAATTCCTAAGTGCTAAGCGTTTCTGCTCAGTTGGGCTGCCAGGTGTTACATCGGAGACCGCACGTATCGCACTTGCCACGTGTTGAAAACTGCTTCGAGATGTGTATCCTCTAAGTAGATATTCCAAAAACAAAACCACCCTGGGAGGCAGAAGCCAACTCATTATCGATGTGATTCTATGTGTATAATAATACCGTATATATATATATATATATATATATTGATTAACAAATAGCTTGCGCCCCAAACAAAGATTTTTTAGAAGTCAATTCCAAAGCTAAACTTACAGAGTGATTCAAACACAGTCAATTCCTAGACTAAAATAGTGATCAATCAAACCTGTTCTATCCCAACTGAGACTAAGGCAAGCTTGGTGGACAGCTGAACAAAGGTAATCGCAAGGACCTGCAAATTTCTGCATGGCGTGGAGGCTCTGGGAAAATGCTGGGAAGATACTGTTGGAAATTATGTATATGCAACATTACAATAATGAACCCACCATTTGGAGAGGATGGTATACATTGGTATACCACCCATTTAGATCATCAAGAAGGTGATGTTGGGGATGGTTGATTGTTGGGTTTCCCACATTGCCGCCCCTGGGAAGCTGGGAATTCCCTGTGGCGACTAGGTAAATTCGAAGTGATCTCCACACTGTGGGTGTGTCAATAGGTCTTTGTGGCTTTCCTTACTTGGAGGACCCCTAAAATCATCCAATCTGGACCAATATCGCTTGGTCGGTACCCATTTCTTTCATGGTTCATCCACATTTTCCCTATTGAAGTGAGCATTTTGGGGGCATCCATGTCCTCATCTTCAAACCCAAACCTAGGATTAAAACTCATCTTCCAAACAATTTTAGACACAAAGAATCAGCTTTCTCAGATTGGGGGGTAACCGGTTAACTGGGATCCCCCTTCACATCCCAAGAAAAACCCATGCTTTGTCAAACCACCAGCGGAACAAAAAAACCAATGGCTTGGATGATTTGGGTACCCAGATTTTGGGATTTTCCTCCAGTCAATTGGTTTAAGGAAAATCTTAACCGGAAACCATAGATTTTCCTATTTTTCATATGGGGTTTTCCGGTTAAAATGTTCCCTTAAACCAATCCATTGATCCGGATTTTCCCTCCGGATTTTCCCTCTGGATTTTCCCAGAGGCCATCGCCTGCCCGGAAATGGCCACCACTCCTTTGATGCCATGACTGCGGTAGGCGTAGGCCAGACCTACGCCAAATTCATGGCCCATGGATCCACGGAGAGAAAAATGGGCCACAGGTGAAACGTGTGGAAATATAGAAATATCATAGAAATATCATAGAAATATATAGAATAATATATAAGTATATAGAAATGATCATGAAATTATCATGTTCTGCTGTTTCGTGGGTTCAATTCATAGCTTTCTGCCATATTGTATACGTGATGTCGAAATACAGCATGCCAATGCCCAGCATTCCCCAGCAGAAAAGCAAGGGAGCAAGACAAGAGATCTTACAATGGAATTTGTTGATTATCTGATTTGTCCTCTTATTTATATTCGGGGTACCCTCCAAAAATGACATAACTATGGACAATGACCTGTACATATATATATATAATATTATATATATATGTATGATTTACCTGATTTACCTATTAAACATGGTGATTTCCATAGCTATATGAGTTTACCAGTGGCTACAATTTCTGACACGTGGGAATGAAGGATGCAACCGGCAGAAGAAGTTTTTTGCCACTGACTTTGTGCATCAACAGCAGCGTCTAAATGGTCTTCGCTCGACATGCGAGGAGCCTTTCGCCTGATTGCTAATTGCAATGCTCGCTTGATAAATCATGTCAGATTTGCAGAAATTTGCGGGAAAGGTCAGCTCACATCTAAGTATCTCATGGACTTGTGATCTTAGAGTCATAGAAAGTGGACCAGTGGAAATAGAATGTGTAATGGAATTGTCATCATGCTTACCAATATATTTTCATCACATGAGTTTGTCTGAAAATAGGGTACCCACATCCAAGCAGGATGAACCATCATTTTCCCCAATTTTTAAATTTTTGAGGGGCTCTGGGTTCTTTCCCCACGTACCACGTCCCCCACCTCCGATGATGAGAACACTAAAGGTCAGGGCCAACCAGTGCGGCAGCACCAACGTATTTGGGATAAGACCTCGGCTGCAATTTTCTGCAGGTCCACTGCTTCACCCTGGTTTTCACCATCAAATTTTGGAACAATCATTGGATTGGTTTAATATGTGGTTAATCAGTGTAAATCAATGTGAATCATACCAATATGATTATGTTTACATATTTATATATGTATATCTAATCATTGGATAAAAAAAAACATATGAAAAATGGATTTTCATGGTAAAAACAATGGTTTCCGGTTAAGATGTTCCCTTCCAACCCATCGATTTAAGCATGGTTTAAAAAAATGAAATTGAACCATGTCATGCATTAAACACACATCAATCACCATGAAACCATCATGATCCATTATAAAGCCATCCACATATATATATATATATGTATATGTATTGTATATGTGTATATATATATGTACATGTGTATATATATATGCATATGTATATGTATATATGTATGTATATATATTTACACATATACATAAAGGTATATATATATATGTAAATGTATATGTATGTATGTATGTATGTATGTATGTATGTATGTATGTATGTATGTATGTATGTATGTATGTATGTATGTATGTATGTATGTATGTATGTATGTATGTATGTATGCATGCATGCATGCATGTATGTATGTATGTATATATATATGTATATATATATATATGTGTATATATGTATATGTATATATATATATGTGTATATATATATGTGTGTATATATGTATATGTATATATATATGTATATATATATATATATGTATGTGTATATATATATATGTATGTGTGTATATATACACATGTATATATATATATATGTGTGTATATGTATGTATATATATACATACATATATATATATATATGTATGTATATGTATATATATATATATGTATATGTGTATATACACGTATTTCCCCATTCCTATATATTCCAATAATCCCGTCCTCTGTTCATATTAAACACCCCGCAGAAACCATGGTGGAAGTAGGGAGTGAAACCACATGTTTGGGACCATAGAAAGGGTGTGTTTAATATGAACGGAGGATGGGATTAAACGAAGTTTAAAGGGAGAGATACGAGTCATAGGATTCAAGGGTGATATATGGTGATATTCTCCCCAAGGGGACCCATTGTTTACTGCAAGAAAGTTGGACAGTGTCAGGAGTACTACTGTAAAAGAAATTCTAGGACTCTCTTGGATCGAGGTGTTGAGGGTCCCCAGTGAAACCAGATTATGTTTTATGATGTTTTGTGCGGAGTAGCAAATATTCGTAGAACCAGCATCGACCGACCGTGACTTCACTTTCACACACTTCTGAACTAGCGTAACTAGCGTAGCAATGAGAAAAGTCACCCATTCTTCAGCACTTACCATCTGGTTATCTAACATACCCATGGAAAACCACCATTTTTGATAGGTAACGATCTATAAATGGACCATTTTCCATGGCTATGTTAAATAACCAGAGGGTAACAATCATCATTCATCTACTGCCAGTAGAGGTAAAGAAAAGGTGGATTTCCACCTTAAGCGGCCAATCGGATGAAACACATCAGGTGATACCGGGCGCTCTCTGATTTTGGCGGCCTCTCAAATCGTAAAAGGTCACAGAATTCCCCCGAACAACGTCCATCTAGGATGGTGGCTGATTTTTGTACCATCTGGTTATGACTAACATAGCCATGGTATAGATGGCCCTAATCGAAATAGATGGTTTACCGTTCTTAATAGCATGGTGGATCTTTTCATGGC